AGGCTGAGAATCTACATATGGTTCGAGAGAAATTTTATGACCTTGAAAATATCTTTCTGAGAACTAGGTACTGCAGTTGGCTCTCTTCAAAATTTAAACCAGATAAATATATACTGTACGTATAACAATGTGGGTTTTATCATCATGGAGAGAGGCGACCAAGGCAGTTAATGTATTCCTGGACTTCTGCAGTAGAGGAAAAGCTGAAAACCACAAAGGAGAACCCTAAACCGAAAACATCTCCTGGCCTTGAAGTGAAAAATACAACAACGGTAAAACAGAAAAACTTGGACACAAAGACAGGCATCCTTCACATAAATGGATTTCAGAAATAAGAATTGGTCAAACACCCCCACAGTTACATTGGGGCCAGTAAATATTTTATTCAAACTCAAAGCCCCTCTCCCTTAGGGCACAGTTGAGCACAAACCAACGTCCACCAGGGTCTCATGGAAGTGAGACCCTGGTGGTTCCATCAGGACTGTGGAATCAGACCCGAGTCCCTTGGCAGATTGGATACCTTCAATTGGCGACCCCTCCTTATCAATGAAACAAGTTATTTGTTCCCAGACGAAATGGTCTGCCATAAAAGGGCCTTGTATTTCATCCAGAAGACGAGCCTTTCACAATGGTTGCACCACATTTTAAACTAAACATGACAACTAGTTCGTCTGATATTGTGCACCCTTCTTTCTTATTTTTGGTTGATTGAACACTGCTGAAGAGGCCACACGATCTGCCCAAGCACCCAAAGAGATCAAGAATACATTCTTAAGCATGCAGGGAATTCCAGCCAAACCGGTCTTAACCGCATTTGTTCCCCCGAATGAAAACCAAAGGGCACATTGACCGTGGTAACTCGCTCAGTGAAATGTCTGATACACGGAGCCACATGATTCTTCAACACAAGGGCTGAAGGTGATAGAGAGGGTGACACTAACGACTCGGTGACATAAACATACGATAGTCAATAGATACACACAGGAAGATAAATACAATGCTAAATGTGCAAACTAGCGATAATTAACAGTAAACGTTAATTAACAGTAAACGTAAGCCTTTTGGCGTCCTCTGGTCTAACACCGTTTGAGACGAGGCTCAAAAGAAAGCTGTCTCTGGTGTGGACCGATCAGTTTCAAGGACAATGCATCATATTATCAGAGTATGTTTTTTGTTTGCATTCTGACCACAAGCATTGTGGTTAATGCAGACATGATTCTTTGTAAAATGTTTCAGTTTAGTGTTTTAACATCTTAACACCTGTTTTGTTGCCAGAAAAAAAGGGGAAAAACCTATTATCAGTAAACGTTAATGTTAAGGTGGTAACTGTAGCGCTAATTACGGGCTACTCCTGAACACATCTAAATGTAGGTTATCCCCTTAAAGTTAATTTTACTGTTAATTGTTACCATTTGTCCTTGCATCTCCCCGCCTTTGCATCTCCCTTTGTCTTTGCATCTTCGTCTCAGTTTCTGTGCTGCAAGTTGCAACACAGAAAGAGAGACCCGTGTTTGAAGCAACTAATACACGTCTCTTTATGTTGCAATAAACTTTGTATATATGCCAATAAATTATCTTTTTAAAAAAACTCCCGTGTAGCCTATATTGCAGCCTGTCTCTCTCCCCCTCCTCTGTTCCGACCATGGATGAACTCGTCCGTCTAAACGGGGCCCGTAGCTATCCGTGGTGCTGAAGTTGAGGCTTAAAAGTCGTGATCTGAACGTGGCTCTTTCACTCCAGCGCTGTCCTACCAGACAGTCTCGTCCCTTCACCTGATGAAGGCCGCTTGTGTTGTGGCCGAAACGTCGTGAGAATATTATTGTGTTATTTAATTTCATCAATTTATCATTTTATTCTCATTCTACGTGACTTTACCGAAAGAACCAAAGAAGATGAATCATTGCAGTCACGAAAGCTTTAAATCGAAATTCAACACAAATAGGTCTTCATTTTGTGAATTTCGAGAAAATATACGAAATTTAACCGGTTGAAACTGTGTTTCAGTGCACACGAAATTTAACCGGTTGAAACTGTGTTTCAGTGCACACGAACCGCACCGGAACGCAAACCGATTCGATGCCCTCGTAGAGGCCCTCCCCCCACCACCCCTTGACGTGGAGGGCTGTCTCCTGGGTTTCACCAATCACCCTGACAGGCGCGGGGAGGTCACACCAACTCTGCAATAATTACAAACGTATATATATAAAAAAAAGTTTTACCTACTGTGAACACGTTTATACGCAATCTGTGTGCGATATGGGACAGCTTCTGTCGCTGTGGCTTTGGCCCGAGCGGGTGGTGGTTATGCGACAAAAAGATTCGCGGCCCGATGGGCCTGTGCATGTTTTGCACCTTCGCCACGTTATTTTTGGGGGGCAGGTTCGAGGCCTTTCCTCTCGGCGTGATCCCGACAGCGCGCTGCGGGGAATGCATACATATATCTGCACGTCGCGAGAGATGCCCCCACTTTGAGGAGAACGTCACAACTCTTGGATGTTGGCTATGCGGTCCTGCAAGGGGGGGGGGGGCAAAAAAACCCAAACCGGCTAATTTCTTTCCGACTGTGGTTTCTCCAATGCACGCGAGACCGACAACGGCCAACTCCTGTGCAATGTGGGTACGAGACAAAGTGCATGTCTGCGGCCATTTGGCCACACGGAAATGTAAAAATGAATTTTGAGCCAACGGGCCCTCGAAAACCGAAAAAGAGCCGAAATGTCTGGCAGGCAGAAATGACGTCGGTTTTTTGAGGTGGGGATGTGGGCGGGGGCTTTTGTTATGATTGATATCCTCGGGGAGCTTCTGTTGTTTTTTGTGTTGTTGTTGTTGGTGTCTTGGCCTTCTCTGGAGGCAGAGGCGACGGAGTGGCGTTCAAGTGTGAAAAAACAATGTCAACAGCCGATGATGGGAAATCGCCAACATATTGGAAAGACATTTCTCCTGCTGCACGCCCCTTCCCATCGCAATTTTAGTACAAAATATAGACCGCCTGCAGAAGTGGGGACACATGGTATGTATAATACGAGATTGTATTGCTGGATAGTTAACTTTAAAAATAAAGCTACTTAACAGAGAAGCAATTGCAAGCCAGACGCAAATACGTTTTCATCTTATTGGTGATCTATCTTATATGTTTCAGTTTAAAAAAAAAACAAATACATTTAGTAAACTAAACAAAAAACATCTAATAACACTGACTTTAAGTCCATGTTACAACATGTAAGAGTCGACTTTTCTAATGACCAAGATTAAGAAAATGTTTTGTATATTTGATGTTTTCAGGTGGTGGGGGGATTTCCAGAAATAGTTCAGGTTCACTTGTCACTGATGCTACCTGACTGGGAAATGAAATCAAGTCGCTGGGCTCATAACGCAATGCGTTAACCACTGCATCGCCCGATATATATTTTTTAAAATTCTACCAACATTCAAATACAAGTCATCAACCAAAATACATGTTTTTTTGTTAGATCGCGTAAATGTGTTGTTAAACCCGCCACCACCCGACACAGCCAATTAGTAAGATTTGTCACAGAAACAGAACATGCCAATTCGTTACTAGTACAGCACACCGGTGTGTTGGAGAGCAAATCCACAACATTTACAATCTGAGTACGACGTTTCATCAAGAAAAACCAAGCAACTGGTAAAAAGCAATAATGCATGGTTTCTGGAGGGCAAAAGTAAACAATTAATATAGGATGACGATTTAGAAGGAAAAAAAACCCTGTTGTTTAGACAGTGATTGAACATCACTTATCTTATCAAGTCGTATATATATTAATTGTATCAGTCAAATACAAGAACTTTGGAATAGCACATAGCAAGGTGTTTCCACGTTAAGACTATAAATAGATGACTCGTGACATCGGATCTCGTTTAGTAAATAAAAAATGTTGTCAGTAACACGAGAGTGATACATTTTTTGTTGTCGAGATGTTAACCTTGCATGACACGCACGGACATTTTCTCAGAACAGCTAAAAATAATGCGACGTTCATCGTCTTCTTAAAATAACAAATGCAAGGTCATCATACAGACTGTGGCATTTATCAACTTCCAATTTATGTCGTCATTGAAATCAGGTTATTATAAAGTTTGAAGCCACTATTGACCTTTATTTAAAATATACATTGCCCCCGTATATTTGACTTTACTCAAGCCATCCACTTAGCTCTGGGGTGGCGATACTCATTCCGCCATCTGAGGCACTTCTGTCACGCCAGACGGCTAAACCCTTTTGATCATTTTTTTTTTACCACAGCCATTCTTTACACGAATATTTTCGGAAAGCAGTGTGCACATTCGCTATTTGGCGCAGTGAAAAATTTGGTGCCTTTTTTTTTTGTCCGGTCCCTTTTGCGATCTTCAGGCTGTGAGCAACGGGGGGGGGGGGGGGGGGTTATTTTAAACTCCTTAAAATTCACAACTCGCTATTCGGGACACGTCCATACGTATTTTACTTTCCGGCGTAGTCCATTGATGGACGTTATTGCCCCTTGCGAGCGTTAGCATGCAGTGTCTGCGATCGTGTCTTGCAACGTCTCAGCGTCAAACAAGACTCGGCAAACGGCACGGGCATGAACAAGCTATGACTAATAAGCCTTTTGCCCACAAACTCACAAAAAGTACATATATTACAAACTCGTGGCTTTCCTCCATACTTTTGTATGGAAGTAACTCAAACGATCTGATCAATTAACATAAACGTTAAATCTACCTGCTGATTTCATGTTGGTGCTCAAGTGATCATGAAAGAAGACTGCCACAATTACAATTTATGTTTGAATTAGCTGGAGGAGTAGCACATTCTTGTGGCGAATCTAATTTGTGCTTTGAGCTTCAAGAGGTTTGTTTTTATGCCTACTCTTTTTATAACTAGCATATACATGCTCATTAGACAAACGTTTCTGCGTGTGGTCTTCATATACTGTAATATTCTAACAGTTTCACAACACTTTGCAAAACAATGGCACGCAAAGAATGACAAACTCAAGAACTGCTCGGAAGCACTTTATTATTTCAACGAGGAACTTGTGGTACGATAACCATGAACACGACACCGAATTTCCAAACAAAATGCAGCTAATTTAGTGCGTAGACAAACACTAAGAACATCACTTCCATGTGAAATATTGTTCCGAGGTTGTATCACTGTAGCCATCAATATGACTACAGGTGAGACGAACCATTTAGTTTTTATGCAGTGCTTCTCAACCTTTCACTCCACAGCACACTTTCCAGCTTGCTCGATATTCGCGGCATATCAAACCAAACAATTACTGTGGGCCTGGGTGGGTGAGTGGGAATGTGTTGTAACCGAGAGAACTCACGACCCCTTGCATATACCCATCAAGTGGCACTGCCAAAATCCGTGACACATTTTTTTCCTAACTGCGTAAATGTATTCGTGTCTGTGTTAGGGTCTGGGTGTCCTTGTGTATCTCCATGTCTGTGCAGGTCTGTGTCTCTGTGCTCGCTAACAGCCCTTGACCCAGCAGTCTGTTAAAGGCTATATGGGGGATCTTTATGTGTCTGTGTGAGTGTATTTCAACAGGACCTACATCTCTGCTTTATTGATCTTGTCAAGGCCTATGATATCCTCAGTAGGTCAGGGCTTTGGGTAATTCTTTGTGCTTTCGGAGTCCTAGACCCCCTCTGCTCACAATCATTAAGGACCTTCATGGTGGTGGGCAGATCCGGGCAAAGCTGCGTGGCCAGGATTCAAAGCCATTTTCTGTTCACCTTGGGGTGCGCCAGGGATGTCCTCTGGCCCCGACAGTATTTAATCTTCTTTGACCACGTAGGTGGAGAAGATTCCAATGGATGTAATGGGAGCCTGATCGATGCTCGGGTGGGGTCAAGGGTTGGCTCTCTATTGGTCAGCCATGTTATGTATGCAGATGATCTGGTAATTGCTGCCCAATCTTAGGAGCAGGATATGCTACTGCTGAACCTAGAGCATGCTACATAGAGATGTGGCCTTACCATCAGCCCGCAAAAACAAAGGAGCTGCCCGAGTATTTTATGTTAAATGCTCCCCCCTCCCTCCACTCCCCATGAGCGATGGGGCAGCTGTGGAAAGAGTGGAAAAGTTTTCTTGCCTAGGCAGTGTGCTTATGACCAGCTCCGGTTTGGCAGCAGAGGTCTCGCTCCGAATCAGTCGAGCGGCATTATCTTTACATCAGCTGTGTAATGCTGTGTGAAAGCTATGTGCCCTGTCGCTCCATACAAAGCTTGTGAAACATGGAGCCCTCTAAAGCAACACCTGTGCCATTTTGAAACACAGGCTAACCTGTCTACAATCCATCCTGGATTTAACAAGACTGCTGTATTGTGTGAGCTCAGAAATCCTTCGACAATCTGACCACAGTCCTATTAGTGAGCTCCTCCAGCAGGTGAGGCTGTGTTGGCTGGGTCATGTAGCCCGCATAACGAGCCACAGCATGCCCAAGCAGCTTCTGTTTGGCCGGATAGATGAGGCTAAAAGGACATGGACACAGGCAAGCGAAGAGATGGACCGATGTGGTACAGAAGGATGTGGAGCTGATTGGAATTGCCAATGACTGGTACCAGCAGCGGTGTCAGGGTCGGCCTCTGTGGAGAAGATTCATGAAGGATGCTACTGGGCAGTTGGAGGCAGAAGTCCTCTAGCAACAACAGCGTGGAGAAGCGACGCTCACAACGAGTGGAGTCCCAGGCGGCTAAGACGGAGCAAGTGAGAACAGTGGGGACCACAGTTGGTGCAACTACATGTCATCTAAGACAGTCAACCAATGGCACCTGGGACTTCCGTGACCTCTTGCCAGCGAGCCTTTAACACTTAGTGGCGAATGGAGGTTGTTACTATTGTGTCTGTCTGTGTCTCTGTATGTCCATGTGTCTCCATGTGTACGAGTGTGTGGTTCTCCGTTTGTGTATCTTCGTGCCTATGTCTCCGCATCTCTGACTCTTCGTATCTGTGTGTCTATTTGTGCGAGTGTATTCGTGTCCACGTATCTTTGTGTGCGTCTTGGTCTGTGTCTCCGTTTGTGCCGTGGCACACCGGTTATGAAGCACTGTTTGTATGTCCTACTCAAATCAACAGAAACTCGTATGGAAATGTATACATCAATTCGCTGTTAGGTACATACGTCAACATTCTGGAAAGTTTAAAAGCAAATTCGCACTCCATTAAAATTATTGTGAACATGACCATATTTTAATCACTGGCAAAATAACCGATCACACCATTGCTATCACCAGTGCTACTAAAGTTGTTCAGGTTTCAAGCGTTGGCAGTTTCCATTGGGACAGTCTCCTCAGAGAGGGGCTCGCCTCCTCCATCTGAGGAGCTTGGCACACGGTGGTGTAACACGCGGTGGTCCCACCCAGCTGTGGTCAGACGTCCGTGTTGCAGTGGGCACCAAGCCAGCCCGTGCACAAAGTCACTGTGAGATCGGTCCTCAAATCTTTATGGATGGGGAGGGGGGGTTCGGAGGAGAGGGGGGTGGTGCAAATAATTACAAATCTCCATAATAGAGGTTTTTGGGTTAGATCGCGTAAATAAATAAACGTGTCGTTAAAACCCGCCACCACCAGACACGGCCAACAAGGGTTGTCACGTAAACAGAACGTGCCAATTCGTCACGAGTACAGCACACCGGTGTGTTGGAGAGCCAAGCCACAACATTTACAATCTGAGTACGACGTTTCGACAGTAATTACAACCAGCTTCATCAGGCGACAGCCAGATTTGCGGAGAAGTCTTACCGTTTCGTTCCTTATATAGAGGCATAGATGAGTTAACCACGCTACTGCGCTCTTGCACAATGTGGGGGGGGGGGGATTACTGAGGCAACGTACATTATGCATGTGCATGATGCGAGCCCTTTGAACTTGTCCTTCCTGTCTATTGTGTTGATTAAAATAGCCCTACTAGCGACGAATTGGCATGTTCTGTTTACGTGACAACCCTTACTAGTTGGCTGTGTCGGGTGGTGGCGGGTTTTAACGACACATTTATATATTTACACGATCTAACCCAAAAACCTCTATTATGGATGATATTGGTCGCGAAAGCCTACGTGTTAAAATTACAAATCTCTCCTATGGATCATTAATTCACTTTTTCCAAACCCACCTTTCGACATCGCTAACATCCGTGATCGATTGATAAAACGTGCGTGCTTAAATTATTATGCCGAAATAAATGCTAATGCTACAACATTGGCATAGGAGTGCTTAACATTTTTTTGGAGATGTTTTTAATGCATAAACCATCAGTCGATAGTGGTTGAACAGTACATGGTAATCCCAAAGGTGGCGTTTTTCTTTGTATTCTCCAACGATGCACTAAGCTATCATATTCCTCTTCCACCTCTTCCAAGACTTGTGAAAATGCTATCCCTCAAGCAGAGATTATATAGCAAGATGAAATGTGTCGACAAGCATTATTTGAGGTGGGGGGGTTAGAATATCATCACTTTTCTGTTGATACACACTCTCTATTCTCCACATACGTGCAATTCATGAGGGAAGGTGGATGAGTAGAGACTAAAGCAAACAAGAACCAAGGGGAATCAGAGGGTTGGTTTGGTGGACATTTTGTGCAGCAAAAGCGTTGCTTCCAGTTACACAATGGATGTGAAAGCTCATGGTGTGATGGAGTGTACCCTTGTTGGGACATGTCAAATATGCTTATATAAATGTCCAAATATCAATTTATTTTCGCTGCAAAATACGCTCAAGTCAGGCAATAAAGTGTGTACAAATTACAATTAAGTGAATTTTCCAACTTCCAAATACTGTCATTTATTGATAGTAAATAAATAACATATAGGGCATGTTTCCTTGAGAAACAATGTTTTAGATTCGAGCAATAATTCTACTACTGTCGATTACTCACACTCAGTAAAGATTGTCAGAATAAATGTTACATGTTCTAATTATTTATCAAACGTTATACAAATGTTATTTTTCTATCTCACCAGAAATCGTGCTATTTGCAAAAAGACATAAAATAATCTCAAAGATTTTCCTGTCAGAGATAAACGTCAATCAGCGTAATTATTTCCCGAACATCACTGAACAGTTTCATGGTAGGGCAATTTGATGAATTAAAATGCCAATAATGAATTTCGGTTGCAACCTCAATATTGAAATTAGAAGACCGATATAAAAGACGCTTGCAATAGGGCTATTAGGGAGTCTACCTAGGAACAGCGATGCATATTAATGACCTGATTTATTTTAAACAAAATCCATAATAGCAATAACGTGATGCAAGTAATTACAGCAAAAGTAATAAATTAATCTAAGCAATACATATTAAATGAAGTTTTAGCCATGTAAAATATTTTAATGATCGAATTTTTTTATTTGGAAAATGTACAATCTGTCAAAGCTGACAATTAATTTGCGAATGTATATATTTTTTAAGATGACGATTTACAAACCGCCATTGTGAAAGCCTCAGCATAATGTGCGTTGCCAACCACGTGGTAAGCACGTGGAGGTTTGGAGAGATGAAACAGTGAGTCAATCGGTCTATTTTGGGTAACACCCGTTTGAGCTAAGAACCTCCATTTTTTTAATGGTGAACCGGCCAAAACAGCTCATATGGTAGAAAGTCAATTCGATGTGTATAATTTTACTGGCCTCAAATATCTGTATAAATATTCAATAATCGACGATACCTTCTTGAACACCTTGTATATGGAGTGACGTAAATGGAGCCACTATGGTGTTTAGCGCCAGCTACTGTCACAAGAGTGGAACTGTGTGTCTTGAGCCTCTTTCTGGCACCAAAGTAGGTATGGCATGCAAGCGGGCCCTAGGGGGCATAGTTCTGGTGACGGACTGAGGGAGGGGCAAGTAAGGACGTGACAGTCTGGGTGAACTCAAGAGGGCACGTGACCGGGACAGGGTAGTGAGGGGGCCCAAAAGGGGGCTCGAGGGACACGTTCTGCTTGGTCGAGAACCTTCTGGTAAGATCCAGAAGGGGGCGTGGCCGAAGGCAGAGTGAGGCTACGCTCGGGATCATGAAAGGGAAGTCCAGAGAGCGATCGCGGCTGTCTGTTGTAATGGAACCCGTCGGTGCTACGTCTCTTTGATCCTCGGTCTTTACGCTCAGCTTCGTGGGTCAGGCAGTATGTTACTGACTGACCAAGTTATGTAGTTAGCCCACTGTGGTATAGTTACCCCGTTGTGGTCTAGTAAACCAAGTGTACGTTTATGCAGTTACCCTGTTGGGGTGTTATAATAAATGTGTTGCCTCCAAGTTCTAGTGTGTGTCTCCGTTAAGAACACTACATACAGTGAGGGGAAAAAAGTATTTGACCCCCTGATGATTTTGTACGTTTGCCCACTGACAAAGAAATGATCAGTCTATAATTTTAATGGTAGGTTTATTTGAATAGTGGGAGACAGAATAACAAAAAAATCCAGAAAAACGCATATCAAAAATGTTATAAATTGATTTGCATTTTAATGAGGGAAATAAGTATTTGACCCCCTCTCAATCAGAAAGATTTCTGGCTCCCAGGTGTTTTATACAGGTAACGAGCTGAGGTTAGGAGCACACTCTTAAAGGGAGTGCTCCTAATCTCAGCTTGTTACCTGTATAAAAGACACCTGTCCACAGACGCAATCAGATTCCAAACTCTCCACCATGGCCAAGACCAAAGAGCTCTCCAAGGATGTCAGGGACAAGATTGTAGACTTACACAAGGCTGGAATGGGCTACAAGACCATTTCTAGGAAGCTTGGTGAGAAGGTGACAACAGTTGGTGCAATTCGCAAATGGTAGAAACACAAAAGAACTGTCAATCTCCCTAGGCCTGGGGCTCCATGCAAGATCTCACCTCGTGGAGTTGCAATGATCATGAGAACGGTGAGGAATCAGCCCAGAACTACACGGGAGGATCTTGTCAATGATTTTAAGGCAGCTGGGACCATAGTCGCCAAGAAAACAATTGGTAACAAACTACGCCGTGAAGGACTGAAATCCTGCAGCGCCCGCAAGGTCCCCCTGCTCAAGAAAGCACATATAAATGTCCGTTTTAAGTTTGCCAATGAACATCTGAATGATTCAGATGACAACTGGGTGAAAGTGTTGTGGTCAGATGAGACCAAAATGGAGCTCTTTGGCATCAACTCAACAGGCCGTGTTTGGAGGAGGAGGAATACTGCCTATGACCCCAAGAACACCATCCCCACCGTCAAACATGGAGGTAGAAACATTATGCTTTGGGGGTGTTTTTCTGTTAAGGGGACAGGACAGCTTCACCGCATCAAAGGGACGATGGACGGGGCCATGTACCGTCAAATCTTGGGTGAGAACCTCCTTCCCTCAGCCAGGGCATTGAAATTGGGTCATGGATGGGTAATCCAGCATGACAATGACCCAAAACACACGGCCAAGGCAACAAAGGAGTGGCTCAAGAAGAAGCACATTAAGGTCCTGGAGTGGCCTAGCCAGTCTCCAGACCTTAATCCCATAGAAAATCTGTGGAGGGAGCTGAAGGTTCGAGTTACCAAACGTCAGTCTCGAAACCTTAATGACTTGGAGAAGATCTGCAAAGAGGAGTGGGACAAAATCCCTCCTGAGATGTGTGCAAACCTGGTGGCCAACTACAAGAAACGTCTGACCTCTGTGATTGCCAACAAGGGTGTCATGTTTTGCAGAGGGGTCAAATACTTATTTCCCTCATTAAAATGCAAATCAATTTATAACATTTTTGACATGCGTTTTTCTGGATTTTGTTGTTGTTATTCTGTCTCTCACTGTTCAAATAAACCTACCATTAAAATTATATACTGATAATTTCTTTGTCAGTGGGCAAATATACAAAATCAGCAAGGGATCAAATACTTTTTTCCCTCACTATATAGATCCCACAAGATCCCCGAGTGTGCGTGCCACACAAAGTACTCACATTTTCTTCAGATCATTTTCCACGTCGGTTACAGCCACGAGACAGTCATCACCCGAGGAGGCAAGGAGAGATGGGCTATGAAATAAAACACAAGTTGTATAACTCAGTAACGGCGAGTTCAGAAAGTTCAATTTCTGAAACAAGGATAAATAATGGGAAATGTTTACAGTAGAAATTTCATATCCTCAAGCTTTACAAATTGATGTTATCCTAACACATTCTCATAGAGATGAGGCCATTTCATCAGACCTCAATCCGTAAATCCAGCACATTAAATCATATTGACGTTAAGCAATTCTAGTCGTGCGCTGTATAATTGTAGTCATATTTTCTCCCTTTACAAAAAAGTTGACTTGGAAATTTTGAACAATAAAAATGTAATGGCACAAGAGCCTTGTTAACTGCTTTTCTCAGCTCCCGCAGAGGAGAATGCCCAAAGTTGCTTGAACATATGGCAAATGTATCTCTTAATTAGTATTAATTACAAAAAATGTTTAGAAAAAAGACCAAGAGGCCCAGGATTGGCGGGATCTGGACCGGTTCTTTAAATAAAATCTAGAATTATCACGCGCAAATGAGTCTGTGTACAAAATCTCAGCACGTTAGGCTCCGTAGATCCGAAGACATTCAGCGTCAAAGATTTGAAAGATTATAAAAAGACAACAGGGAAAGTTAAATAAAAGTGTGTAATGAAAAGCAATCATTGGATAACATTCTTAGGCGTTCACCACAAGAAACATGTATGAAAGAACATGCCTGAAAATGCTAATATTGCCTACCGATCAGAACAATAAAACATTTTCAAGATACAATTACCATTTCACGAAAGTGAAACTTTAGCGGTATGTTAAATATTGATATTGGGAAAACGGTAATAAGTTTTTTTCTCGGTATATCTGGATGTAAATTATATAACGCGTCGTTAATCTTGGGTGTAAACCACAGGCGTAAGCCTTTAATTAGATAAAATTAAATTACTGCCCAGCACTTTACCTGTTTTAATTATATTTTTATGGTCACTAATAACCCGAAAGCATTCAAACATTTTTGTTAGTGTATCCTGGGAAAACTGTATTTCCGCTAACGGCAGGACACGACTTGACCATCTGCCAAATCAACTTCTGCCAACAACAGTGGCACCTTGCAACTGTAATGCTTCTTCGAGTCACATCTGTCACTGCCAAACTTTGGCACACACTCCCACCTTGTGTGGCTGCTGCAGGTTATTAAAATGTAGAAAATACTGAGAATGGGGGGGGGGGGGGAAACAATTTACTGCGATTCAAAGTCACAGCCATCTCGCTTCTAGAAACAAAAACACAGCATTGTTGTGCTGTGATAACATTGCCGAGTGACACTCGACCGAAAGCCTTGAGCTCGCAAGCATTACCACATGCAGCCCCAGGAACACAGATTCGTCTGTGTGTAAAGGTTTCTGTTTTTGTATTCATCCTGCTAGCGTCAACCGCGCTGGTATTTCAACGAAAGGGGAAACACGTGGTTGCCAAAATCAAGCAATGGACCCCAAAACGTGCACGAGGCGCTTCAGACCCCAAATGAACATAACAAGTGCCATTTGAAGTCAAGACGCATACCTAACGTCATAAAATACTCTACAGAACAATCCTTTCACATTCCAATATTTACAAGACAAATACATACATTGTCCTGGTAATCATCCGCAACCCTAAAGAAGTACATCTTTTCTTTGTGTGCCCATTTTGCAAGTTCGGTCAAATGAACACCTGTGTACTTTATCATGCTGCCATCCACAGACATTTCAAAGAGAAGCTAATACAAGGTGGGGGGGGGGGGGGGGATCACCCACCAACGTTTTTCTTCTTTCTATAAATGGCAAGGTTTACAAACACACACCAATCTCTCGTCTCCTGCTGGTCACACCAGCGTTCTACTTTGGCCAGCGATTTCTGGCTTGCTGCGACATTCAATTTATCGCGCACGCAGCTTGGACGAGGTTGTGATCTTGGGAAGACTGCACAGTTCAGTTTGCTCTTTGGACTTGGCACGACTCTGTCTGTCCCATGTGGCTGGCAATGAGTTCACACTGATGGCAGTGGTGTTGCAATGACACTAAGCCTGCATCACAAGAGGACCCTAATATGATCTCTACACATACACCAATGACACCAAAAACAGTGAACCGAGTGCTGTTAATTGCCATGACAGATGTTAAAAATAACAGCTTCCAACACAAGAAAATTAAATAAACCTACACCACCCTGCCATTTAGCCCAACATTTATTTGAGGTCTAGATTCAATCCCGCAATGTGGAATGTAAATTAAATGGGTAAAAAAAAAGTTCATTTTTTATACGTGTGAGCATTTCTGGCCTTGTCAGTTCGACGATACAAGTAATTTTGCATAATTAGATAAGTAAAATAACTCTGAATAGGTACTCTATAAAAATGCTGTAGAGATTATATATCAAGCAAATTAAAACAAAAAATTGGTGCTCTACGACTGAATTAAGCTTTATTTAAGCACTAGAAAATGGAAAGGTTATACAACAAACTATGCATGCTAGACAAACTGTTTCGATATGATGTGCACATGGAAAAAAAACATTTAAATAAAAGCTGCATTGTAGATTGGCTATTAAACAGTTATTAAATAATAACTCAAATTTGCAAATTTCAGGTAGGCATAATTATATGGTGAAAGGTTCCATAGAACTTAAGGCCATGCATGAACTTTGCTGGGGGACTGTTTAATAAATCACCACTGCAGGCCCATTAGAACGTACAACAAAGTACACCGGGGACTCGCACACCAATGGAAAATGTTTACAATGGCACTAAAAGCACTGTGTTAAAGAACAGATCCCAGCGGCAGGGTTTAGGCAAATGTGCAGCAGGCACACATTTCTAATGCAGAACCTTGTTTTGTGCAAAGCGCTAGGGATGGTTATTAAAGTGCAAATAGCCACATAATTTCCCACTGGACCTATATCAGAAACCCTGAAAATGTTTACATTATTTATATGTACGGCTACAAGCTAGCACAGAACATAATGAACAACTGCATGGCATGTTATTGCGTATAAACACAAGGTACAGCGATATGATGAAGTGCTAAATGACGGAAACACCAATATTTAAACACAAAACAAAAAAAACACTTTATAGCAGTATTAGATGTACATACAATTCATTTACACACGAAGAAGTCGTTTATATATTATGCATAATACACTCAGTAAACGTTATTAAAGTTCATGAAGGTTTAAGTATTAGAGAAAAGAAAATGCTTGAAGTTTTCTTTACAAAATCCTTTTAATATCAATATCACTTCCAAAAGAATTGCCTTGATTATTTTTGTTGTCTGCAATTTTGATATATACATGCACATTTTACATTCAATTAAATAGTTAACTGTAGCCTAATTATTTCAGGTATTTACGCACAATGTTTGCATTTATTTGTATTACTCATCAGGGAATGACATTTGAAGTATTTTTTGTGGAAATGTAAAGTGACTTTTCATCATCAGCCATGATCTCTCCACCGCTGGATGAAGGTGTTCTCACCACCTCCCCAGTCCCATGATGCAACAATCCATCCAGCACTTCCACACGCACTCATTTCATAACTCCATCTCTGCCGCAAACGCACTCTCGGACGTGTTCCTACCTTGGATGAAATGCCTTAATAATGCTTAACCACAGGCCACGTCACCCCGCCTAGTGAGACGCCCTGCCCCAAATCTCACTTGACGTGAGCAGGGCAGTTGGCAGTTGCGAGCACCAGGTGTGATGTTGCAAGAACACGTAAAGGGATCGTCTTTTGATGACACACGTAACAGCGAACACTTTTTTGCGCCCGGTGTCAGGGGCAACTCCTCTGATCGAAATGACCAGCTTTCTAAAGGGCGAAGTCTGCAGGAGCAACATAACTGGCAGCATAGGTTTTTGCATACCACGTAGTACGTGGATTCCATCACGTGCACGAGTTGGAACTAAAAAAAGCAATCACAACCAAGACACGATGGCAAGTCACTTAATTAGGTGGCTCTTACACGGCACATTGTGGGATCTCGAATGTCCACAAGCGGACAAAGATGCATGATGAATGCTTGCTATAAACAATATCGCATGCACAAAAGCAAAACAATGTTTTGCACAACAACCTTGCGTTGCTACTCCATTTCAAAATAAATGCAAGTGAAATGGTTAAAAAATATATATATTTTTTTGTCTTACCCAAAGGACGTGGGAGCTGAATGACTTTGGGGCAAGTAGCCCAGAAATCCGTGCCACAAACTTGCTAATTAGTGCTGCACTATTAAACCATGCTGCATTGTAATATTTACCCACTGGAATTCCTCCTGAAATGCTGGCTGCTTCTCAAACCAACTAATAATGCCGTTCCCACAAAGGGGCAAGCCGTTGGACTAAACTAATGTACTGTACACAGTGTATATGAAGAGGATAAAATAAACAGTAAAATGTCTTGCAGCCATCAATTGCACTTAGAAACGCTTGAAAACGAATGTACGAGGTGCATTTGTTGAGGTGCACATTCTTAGAATGTATCATTAAAACATAAGGACTTGCATAAAACATTTATTCCAGACTTTATGCTCATGATGGGAAGGAGCGATGAGAATGTATTCCGTTTTATTGTGCTGAAATCGTTTAAGATGTCCCTCCAGTTGTAATCTATCAATAATATTTGATGCATTTTAATCACCCTTGAAATATATTTTAAAGGATCATGCTAAGTTAGTGAGCATAATAATAACTATAAAGACCTCTTACCGATATCTACATTTACTAATTATAAACGAGTCCATTTTGCACACTGACCACCACGCTGGTCAGTGCACTAGTGGAGCATAGATCTTGGAGCATAGCACAATGGATTTTGCTGCACGACCCCCTGCTGACAGTGTAGCCCTAATGCGGCCTACAACCTCTGCTTGATGCATGGCAGTCACAAATCCAAGCAATATACAGGCTCAACCCCACTTAACATAAACATCTCTTCATATTGGCTAATTGTAAAAGATCACGAACCCTCTTTTTTGGAAACAGTGGCACAACGCCCTTCTAAGCTCAAGCAGAGATTGAGCACTTTAAGCCACAAACGCAAAGTGAGGGGAACTGGGAGTGTGAGACCAGATGGTCCCCCTTCCTACGGAGATTAAAATTAGGTGCATGGGTGAGGAGGTCGGGAGGTGGGGATAGGTGTAGGGGGGGGGGGGCTGCGCCCCTTGGCCAGGAACGGGCGAGAGTGGAGCATTGCTCGGTGGGAGCTTGGTACTCAAGTTCACATGCCATGTGTAAATTATTTTATTTGCAGGGGTTTTTATTTTTCTCACATGCTTTCCCCTTTCTCTTTCCCTTCTCCCCACCCTCCCCCTATCCCTTATCTTCCCCCAGTATGTCCGTTACTTTCCCCCTTACCTACCCCATCTAAAGCTTCATGCCACCACACGTGGTCGCCACTTGGATGGGGCAGCGAGCAATATTTTTTACACCTTCATAGGGCCCTCTCGCGCCAAAATCGGTTTGCTGTTCACTGAGCTTCTGTCCCCCCCCCCCCCCCCCCCCCCCCCCCCTTGTGCGATCAACGTATTGTACCGGGCTCGCGTTGAGTTACAATAAAAACATGAAAAAACCGTCAACATATATCATTACATATCATTCAATATATTCACACCCATGCATGCTGTATATACACAAAAGTGTAGTGGTTCATGCTTGTGATCCAGTGCTTTAGAGGCAAGGGTTGGTGGATCACTCAGAGATGTGAAGCTTCCCATTCCGCTCGGCTTTGAGATGACCGGGAAATGGTTCGTGAACTTATCTTTGCAAACCTTTGAGTGTTATCCCTTCATATGCGTGGGTTTTCTCTGTGTACACACACATCTCGATGCAGGACCCTCCTAACAGTCTTGAGTTTCAGTGAGGCTTTCTTGGGTAAATACAATTCTTAGATTTTTCTTTTTGGGGGGGGGGGGTTATTACAGGTATATGCTTTAAAATATTAAGGCACACACCACCTCCCCAGCACATGCATTCATGACCCCCGCCCTGCCCCTAAGCACACGCCAACCCCCACTCCCTACGCCTTTACCCATTCTCCGTCCTCACATTTCATCTCCTGCACTAACCCCTCCACCACCCTCCCCTCACCCTTCCTCACCCACGCATTTCTCAACCCCCGGTTCACCCGAACCACCATACACATACTAATTTCCCTGAGAATGGAACAATGTTACTTATATTTCTTTCAAAGAAAATATTTTCATTTAATTTAACAAAAAAAATATCGTTGAAAAAAAGCACACATCCCTGGGCCAGAATGGCATCATTGGTAAGCGGCGTGGTTCTCTTCATGGCTATTGGTTTGGGAGGGGGTTTTATAGCCGTTGCAAAACCCTGAGAAATGTTCACAGACAGGAACGGATGCACATAAAAAAAAATCCCAGCCTTCGCTTCGAGTGTCTTAATGGCTCCCTTAAATATTGTTTGTAGCGTTGGTGTTGGAGCGCAGCAGTCCGTCATTTTTGTGAATACTTTGAGAGCATAAATGTTTTTTTTTCCCTTTGGGCTAACAAAAGCGGTTTTTTTATGTTTATGTTTTAATAATAATAAAAGTCTGAAGTGTTTTACTTATTTATATGACCAGAAGTTATTTTGGTGTTACGAACTGAATTGTAAAAGACCAAAATAATAATGATATTACTAAACTGATTTTGGTGCATAAAACACCAGCAAGGCAACTTCTGCAATTGCACTGTACGGGTCAGTAAGACGAAAGCCCAGTCACTCCCAAGGTTATTTATGTGCAAGCAAATCTCATTATTCTTATGCTATGCCCCCAATGCTCCCCCAAACCACTCCCTCCTCTTCTCCCATGCAGCTGATATTACAAGCTGCTGCAATCATACAATCGTGTTTGCTTGTTTATCATGCCCATGGTGTTAAGGAAGGCCCCCGTGTGTTGCAACAGTTACTCCCACATTTTTTCCACATTCAGCATTGAGTCCTAACATTACACATTATGGATGGACAACTCATAGGATAATCAATGAAATGGCTCTACATTCACTTGTTATCCAGAGCATTGCTGAATTTTGCATGACTCCACAGTCTGTAATTGACAAACATCTATCATAGTCAAGCAATTACTTCACATTTGTAATGGCCCAATCTCCATTTTATCATCTTCCTTCTAATTAAATCTCTTTAATCCTTTTGCCCGAGGCAGAACATTAATCCCACTTCCCGTTGGCTTATTATCACGGCCATAAACACTTCTTAATCCAGTTTACTTCATGCCTTTTACAACTGCGTGTGAGGGCAAACTAGAAAAAAACTGCCGAAACTAATTTTAATTGGGAACCTTGAATGTCACAGCTAAGCCTAAATAATTAAAGGATTATTTTATTTTTAACATTTACAACAAACGTGCGAAATCATGTTCAAAGTAAACTTGGTTATTTTGATGAACTAAACAGCAAGTGTAATAAACTTCAAATTAGTATTTTAAAGTGTGTATTTCACAATCACCGTTAGAATGTATTTCTAATGTACACATTCGCCTTCACCAAATCGCACACACCAGTGTGGTGAAGTATGATCATACAACCCCCAAATGACTATCAGAGATAAACCGCAATGGCTGATGTTGATGTTCACCATTTTAATGCTCTTCAAAATTAAGCTGAACAATATATATTCGCCAATGATGGAGCAACACTGCAGTACAGTACTGTCATTCAGCAGCACAAGTAGTTGTAATCATGCGTAGTTACCAATTTAGTACAGTTACATTTTTTGTAACCTAATTTATTATTCATATTTCCGATTCTAGCAACCACATTAAGTTAGACACGATCAGATAAAAAAAACTAAAATATAAAGCCAGGTAGGATTTTTTGTGAACGTATGTACAGCTCAACCAAATACAGTTTTTTAGGGTTTGCCAATAGAATGGGCTAGCCACTAATGTGAGGTTTTAATAGGATGTGCCGAATAAAGCTCACCAAATGGCATCTATATTGAAATCTTTGTGCTCCTAATTAAGGCCAACGTCTGCTGTTTGTAAATGTGGCACCAGTCAGCAAATGAATGTGTTCTTTGCTCCTCTTATCGAGGGACAAGCTGTTCTGTTGAAAAACTGTTTCTATAATGCAAACTAAAATTCTCCACGTGTCTAAAAGAAAATTAACGGCAATTGCACGTTTTGTATATCTCACTGAATATTACCAAATTATGCTTCGTGTTTTGATAAAGGTTCCTTATGCGGCAGTATTAATATTACACAACAGGTTCAAATTGTACAGGCAGTCCTCGAACCTACGTCAGCTTACTTTCCTTGAAAAGGTGCCGCAAGTCAACACGGTGTAAATCGAGACTGATTTTCCCAAAGAAGAAAAATTCTGCATAGGGGGGTTATGTTCCTGACCAAAGGTCCAATGTGACACTTTTTATAGATGTGAATACAAAAAGCATATTTAATAAACTACCAACCATATGTCAATTACAATAGTGGTATTCTTGGTTCTTTCGGTAAAGTCACGTAGAAGGGAAACAATAAAAGAATAAAAATAAAATATATTAAAAAAATATATATTTTTATTATTTTATTGTTTCCCTTCTACGTGACTTTACCGAAAGAACCAAGAATATGAATCCCTGCAGTCATGAAAGCTTTAAATCAGAATACAATAGCATAGTGTTTAGAAAGATCTTACCTCGATCCTTCACAATTCTTCGCTAATTTGGACTAAACACGGTAATGGCCTTTCTGCCACGTTTCTTTTCAACACCATCACTAGAGCAACCACCTTTCCTTTTCGCCGCCGTTTTAAGGGATTAAATAAATGCTTCGAAATGCAGAGGTTTAGCGCCAGAGCGCCGTGTCGGCAAGCAGACCGAGCAACGTACTTGCATGTATGTTTTTGCGCAGAACCGGTGCCCGAGTTGGCGTCGTGTCGTGTGGGCCCGACCGGCACAAGAAACACCACAGCCGTGGCAATCAGCGACCTGCCATACGTGTGGATCGACGCAAGTCGAGGACCACTGGTATTCGTTAGAAATGTATCTCCATTGCAGTGGAAATGGTCGACCGCTGTAAGTAAACCCTCAAAATTCCACAGAACCACCATGGACCAATTATATATATATATTTTTTTAAATTAACAAGACTCTAAGTCGTAGTGTCCTGCAACAGTTCCGTGGATCACACCCTAATGGGGCCTTGTGAACCACCAGTGCTCTCGAGCAGTTGCTTCTCAACCTTCTTCATTCCATTGCACACTTTGGGGCTTTTAGCTCGATCTTCGCGGCACACGGAACCAAAACGCCATTGTGGGAGAGGGTGGATGGAGATGCATTGTTGCGGCCGCTTTCCCAACTGCCCATGCGTGACCAAGGGGAGTTGAGAGCCGGGGGTGGGGGATGACGGCTCTCAGCTGCACTGAGTCGCGACCAATACAGAGGGAAGGGCTGGAGGTGGGGGGGGGTGGAGACGGTATTGGCCACTTATCGGCATTGATGAGAGTTCAGCTCTCCTAGCTTGTTAACAGTGAGCGTCTTTACTTTGCTACAATTAAACAAATACCGCGGCACACACCTTGCCAAGCACTGCTCTAGTGTATGCGATGGTATTAAAAACAATTAAATGTTGTCATTACGGGCACTTAGTACCCACCTCAAAAGCCTACTCTGTACAACCTCAAAAGCCTACTCTGTACAAATTCTGTGGCTCTGCGGGATGATGCTATACGAACTGAAGACATTTGTGGACAGTGGCATCGACGTAAAACAATGGCATGGTTTGATACGAAATGTACAAAGATACATCTGATGAAGTTTATTGGCGTAACATATACAACTTACTTGTGAGGACAGAAAGAAAGTCTGAAGATGCTCCTTGAATGGATTTGAGCTGACTTTAAGGATGTGGTTGGATTTCCCAGGTCTCTTAAACCAATATGACCCAATTCTGTCCCTAAAAATCACAAGAGGAAACAAAAGAATAGACATGTGACCCAGTTAGAAAAATCAAATCTCTTTCAATTCAATATCCCATTTCGTTTATTTATACATACACAATAAATATATATTTTACATTAACTGAAATAAGTAAAATCAACAATTATGGGAATGTTGGAGAAACATCTCTACAATTATCACACATTTCCCTTCTATAATTATCTATCTTACCTTTCATTATGCAATGCAATTTGTTTTAATGGACATGGTTAATGTGTGTCAAATTGTATTTTTTTTTTTACCAAAACACTCCCAACAAGAGTTAATTACGAAAACGAGCAGTCTCTCGATGTGATAAATTAACGATTTGCTATGGTGCACATGCAGTAGGTTCAATGATAAATATTAACTTGTGTGACATTCCAAGGAGATGGATTTTTGTAAATGCTGTTGAGAGTATAAATACACATGCCAAGTGGCTTAATCTAACTTAAAAAAAGCTCGTTTGGCTTCTTTAAAATTAAGTAGCTCGGTAAAATACAGAAACTTTAAAGCAAATATTATTTTTATTAACCATCAAGATAATATCCTCTACACGATCCCAATGCCAGTGGTCCCCTTTACAAAATATGGAACCTCAAAATAAAATAAGTTGAGAATTGTATTCTTGGTTCTTTTGGTAAAGTCACGTAGAAGGGAAACAATAAAATAATAAAAATATAAAACAATAAAATTCTCACGACGTTTCGACTGCAACACAAGCAATCATCAAATTTTCTTGCTGTGGTTTTCACACCTGATGATGATTGCTTGTGTTGCAGTCGAAACGTCGTGATAATTTTATTGTTTTATATCATTATTATTTTGTTTCCTTCTACGTGACTTTACCGAAAGAACCAAGAATATGAATCCCTGCAGTCACGAAAGCTTTAAATCAAAATTTAAGTTGAGAATTGTTAATAAAACTCCGAATAGTTGTCTGTTGCATAAAGATGGTTAGTATGTACTGCACACATGTTCCATGGGGAAGTTGCCCAGACACTATTTTATGATACCAAATACAATTACCATGGCATTTTTTTTGTCCCATCCTGGCCTGCACAAGCTTATTTGTTTGCAGTGCAAGCACCCGGGTGTCCCATTGGCTTGAAGGTACGAAGGTTTTTCAATAATGAAACAGGGTTTTAATAGTTCTGCAACCTATGGCAGTGCGATTTCAATAAAAAAACTGCACAAATGGGGTCTGAGCCTGGCACTAAAGTGCAATATTTTGCAGCTTTTTTTATAAATTGCACTTGCCTTTTCAACCTCAAAAGGACAACAAATGTATAAAAGCCTTCTGCTTTTCTAATGTTTAGTTGAAGGAACTGCCATCTTTGATCATGTGATATACCTAGAAGTATAATCTGGGGAAAAAGAATATCTGCACACGAGTACCATAGTCAAACTCCATTGACAATGTTTACTAAAATCTTACTGGGAATAATCAAAAGGTGCATGTAGAACTTTTTTCACACGGTACGTAGCCAACCGTGCTGATCAGAGGCGTGGGGAAAGGACAACCAACTAAACAACAAACTTGAATCCCTGCAAATTTTAAAGATGCAGCCCTACAAATTATTTCTCAAATACTGGCAGAGGTGCCTCGACTACAGGCAACTGTAGAGAACCCCTCTAGAAATCATAGTTTAAATCCCTATACGTATTGAATCCCCATCAATTGGCGATGTCAACTGTTCCAAAAATATATAAATAATGCCTTTAAGTCCCTTTTATTATGTATTTGAATAACAAGTCAATCATTTTCGGAAAAATCTAAAGGACCTGCCCAACATAATTTGACAAGACAAGGTGTAAGTTATAATTTCATCTTAAATTATAAATGACACCTACATTTTAATTAGGCAGTTAGCGAGTCTATTGTTTTGGCTATTACTAACAATGACATATATGAGCTCTACATTGCAGCTGGCATATGTTCACAATAACCCTTTGCCAAATAGAGTAAAACTTGAAAAAACAATTTTTGGAAAACTATAAAACAATATTTTCCTTATGTCACTTCTTTCTGCCGAATTATTTAACAGCACTTAATGTCGAATGCTTTGACAAGTTTGTATATATATTTTTTTACAAACTAAAAAAAAACATGTTTCAACCTGTAAACAAAGAACGGATGCATATTTACATTCAGAATTAAAACACAAAGGCAGGGAACATATTTTATTTGTTTTGCTAATGCATGCATATCAAATTTTGATTTGAAGCTTTCGTGACTGCAGTAATTTATATTCTTAGCTCTTTCGGTAAAGTCACGTTGAAGGGAAACAATAAAATATATATAAAAAACAAAAATTCTCACGACGTTTCGACCATAACACAAGCGGTCATCATCAGGTGTTGCCGTTGGTTTTTCACACCTGATGATGACCATTTGTGTTATGGTCGAAACGTCGTGAGAATTTTTATTGTTTTATATATATTTTATTGTTTCCCTTCAACGTGACTTTACCGAAAGAGCTAAGAACATGCATATCAAGTCAAGCTTACAATTAAGTTACTGGGATTCAATCCAAAGTGCCGACATTTTTACCTTATCATGCTTAAGTCCATGGAGATTTTCAGACAGGGTATATTTTGCCTATATTATTTCACAGTTTCAGTTTTAATAGCTGGTTTTGTACTTTACCCAAGAATCAGTCTCAGTTTTAATTACATAAGAGGTCTCCGTCAACCAAGTCCATATTTTCTTTAAATAGACCTTTGATTGAAATATTATTCTACAAAAGTCACAGGAGTGGCAATTGCAGTGATATAAGTACAATGCAGAAAATGTAAGTAAAATCAAATTAGAAAGTGGCAGCTTTGGGGAATGACTAATGGGAATACTTTAACCGTCATAAGCGGCACTAGATTAGCTTATCTTCTTGGTTCTTTCGGTAAAGTCACGTAGAATGTTTACTTTTTATTATTTTATTTCCATTCTACGTGACTTTACCGAAAGAACCAAGAAGATGAATCCCTGCAGTCACGAAAGCTTTAAATCGAAATTTAGATTAGCTTAATCAAGGCCCATTCGCGTGGCACTGCCTTTGAAACGAGCAACTCTTTGCAATCCATACCGCCCGGGGTTCATCTGACCTTTTCAAACGGCGGATTAAAATTCAATGTCAGACCTGACTTAACAAACCCCAACACCCTCAGGTTGTGCACTACACACAGGAATCATCTCCTCTTGTCAGATACGACAAGGTGACCCAGCACTTTGAAATCACAGTGGTAAATATAATACCTTTATACGTAAATATATTGCTACTGAATAAGTATTTGAAGATGTTAATTTGAATTGTAAATAATGGGACATTTTTTCTAATTTCATTTTCTCACTTTTGTAAAGTATTCTTTTGTTTGTAAATAATAACAATGAAACACAGAGGTAGCTGGGTGCCACAGAGGTTAGAGTGCTCAGCCGGCAATGCTGAGGTCCTGTGTTCGAATCCAGGTTTTAACGCTGAATGTTATTAACCTGTTTAGTAAGTTTATGGTCTCGGCTTAGTTACCAATGACTGAGCAAAAAACCCTCATCATAATACATTTGGTTCTGCACTTAATTTGGATAAATACCATCTCTGAAAATGAAATATATAATTATGTCACGTAACAAAGATTCCACTCTGTTACAGGTTGGGTGCGAAAGTGCTGCCCCCTAGTGTGGATAAGTGGTCAGAAATTCAGAGGCAGTTCTGTGAAAACTTCTTCTGTGGCCCATTCCCAAACATTTGATAATGCTCTGTGGTGACCATTGAGAATATATTCTTTGTCTCATCACATAATAGTGAAAGCACAATCAGGATAACAGTTTGAAGACGACAGAAAAAATTAACAGTTAGAATCAACATTTTAAGCTAAAATCTCATGTTTTTTGGTATTAATATTTTAATTACAGGTCCAATTAGCAAAACTGAGAATAGGATTCTGACAACACTATAGTGTGCCCAAATCTGAAAAGATAGCTTACCAAAAGCAACACTCATCCTATGGTGTGGGCTCCATGCCACACATGTTGGCACTGATCCGTTGGGCTTCGTATCTGTATAAAACAAAGAGGAGAAAATACACAGCTGAACAACACTGCTTGGCAAAAAAAATTACAACCCTGTTGGCTTCATTTGATTTGAATGGAGCCACATGTTTTGTTTATATATTACAAAAAAAAATCTGTGTTGCATGAAAATAAGATTAAAATTGCATGATTGCGACGTTAACAAAGAAGCCTGATTTTGCGTAAGTCAACACAACTAAATGTAAATACAAGCGCTGCACTCAATAGCATTTAAGCTCACCTGAATTCCACATCAAACGACCGTGGGGTGGTGATCATTTCCTGTTTACAGCCCCGACTGATTAAACGTCCACATTCCTATAACAGGAGCAAGTCTTTCCATTGTCCGAAGGGCAACCACTAGTGGACTTTCCCACAAAAGTGGTTCTCATTTGATCGACCCCAAATGGATGAAGGGCTTGAATCGACCCTTGCCAGGGATTTCCAAGTCACGTCCTTCCAAATGCAAGCAAGCACCAGCTGGCTGTTTTTTTTCTTTAGATTTCTCTCTAAAATGTTGTTCCCAAAATGATCAAACTCAACAGGTGCGATGTTCATAAAGGCACTAAAACACTAAACACATTGCAGAAATGTCACATCAAGTGTTCACCGGTTTGGCATTTGTATGAAATTATAACTTCACGTGCTGTTGCAATGGGAGGTCGAGTAGCTTCTCCACCTACAGGGAAATGAAGCTATGCTAACGACTACCACTTCACATATGTACTGAATCAGATAAGTTACACCTGGACGGTAAATCACATGGACAATGTGAGCAAAAATAAGAATAAAAATGCATCCGTCTGCCCTCAGTGAGGTCCTTCAACCCACAATGGGTACGCATATCTCAGAAAATAATCTTGAATTCCATTCCCCTATTGTCAAGTGCAAGATGTTTAATGGGGTTATAGAGAGTTGAATTCTGGCCATGACCAGCGAGGGAAAAAAGTATTTGATCCCCTGCTGATTTTGTACGTTTGCCCACTGATAAAGAAATGATCAGTCTATCATTTTAATGGTAGGTTTATTTGAACAGTGACAGACAGAATAACAAAAAATCCAGAAAAACGCATGTCAAAAAATGTTATGAATTGATTTTCATTTTAATGAGGGAAATAAGTATTTGACCCCTCTGCAAAACATGACTTAGTACTTGGTGGCAAAACCCTTGTTGGCAATCACAGAGGTCAGACGTTTCTTGTAGTTGGCCACCAGTTTTGCACACATTTCAGGAGGGATTTTGTCCCACTCCTCTTTGCAGATCTTCTCCAAGTCATTAAGGTTTCGAGGCTGACGTTTGGCAACTCGAACCTTCAGCTCCCTCCACAGATTTTCTAAGGGATTAAGGTCTGGAGACTGGCTAGGCCACTCCACGACCTTAATGTGCTTCTTCTTGAGCCACTCCTTTGTTGCCTTGGTCGTGTGTTTTGGGTCATTGTCATGCTGGAATACCCATCCACGACCCATTTTCAATGCCCTGGCTGAGGGAAGGAGGTTCTCACCTAAGATTTGACGGTACATGGCCCCGTCCATCGTCCCTTTGATGCGGTGAAGTTGTCCTGTCCCCTTAGCAGAAAACCCCCCCCAAAGCATAATGTTTCCACCTCCATGTTTGACGGTGGGGATGGTGTTCCTGGGGTCATAGGCAGCATTCCTCCTCCAAACACAGTGAGTTGAGTTGATGCCAAAGAGCTCCATTTTGGTCTCACCTGACCACAACACTTTCACCCAGTTGTCCTCTGAATCATTCAGATGTTCATTGACAAACTTCAGACGGGCATGTATATGTGCTTTCTTGAGCAGGGGGACCTTGCGGGCGCTGTAGGAGTTCAGTCCTTCACGGCGTAGTGTGTTACCAATTGTTTTCTTGGTGACTATGGTCCCAGTTGCCTTGAGATCATTGACAAGATCCTCCCATGTAGTTCTGGGCTGATTCCTCACCGTTCTCATGATCATTGCAACTCCACGAGGTGCGATCTTGCATGGAGCCCCAGGCCGAGGGAGATTGACAGTTCTTTTGTGTTTCTTCCATTTGCGAATAATCGCACCAACTGTTGTCACCTTCTCACCAAGCTGCTTGCCAATGGTCGTGTAGACCATTCCAGCCTTGTGTAGGTCTACAATGTTGTCCCTGACATCCTTGGACAGCTCTTTGGTCTTGGCCATGGTGGAGAGTTTGGAATCTGATTGATTGATTGATTGCTTCTGTGGACAGGTGTCTTTTATTTAGGTAACAAGCTGAGATTAGGAGCACTCCTTTTAAGAGTGTGCTCCTAATCTCAGCTTGTTACCTGTATAAAAGACACCTGGGAGCCAGAAATCTTTCTGATTGAGAGGGGGTCAAATACTTATTTCCCTCATTAAAATGCAAATCAATTTATAACATTTTTGACATGCGTTTTTCTACATTTTTGTTGTTGTTATTCTGTCTTTCACTGTTCAAATAAACCTACCATTAAAATTATAGACTGATCATTTCTTTGTCAGTGGGCAAACGTACAAAATCATCAGGGGATCAAATACTTTTTCCTCACTGTACAAGGTGTCCTTAACTGTCCCATACTGCGAAGAATCGAGACACGTCACACCAAGTGTTACACGGTTTCTTCGTTTTGTATGCATAATTTAATAACATCAGACTTTATGGAACCAATTGCCAGTTCTGGATTTTTGTAAACCAGCCTGCGTAATAGTAAGTTGGTAATAGTATTGACATTAAACAACAGTATATGTGACGATGCACATTGGAACTCTTCTATTTACATTACCCTGTAGCTCTATCACCCTCATCCCCTACCCATCCAACCAGATCCCACTCACACTCACCCAACTTCAACCCTCATCTGCGCCAAACATGCAGCCCAGGAAGCTTCTTTATAAATAGCTAAATAGTGTATCTACAGGCATTTGTACTTCGAGTCTAGTTAGTGTCAAACTAGGTGGCCAGACCCATCTCGAAAGATACAAAAATGTTTACAGTACAAGATGATTTCTGCAGCAGCTGTGCGACTATCTTTAATTGCAAAATTATTTTAAGATACGCCTTTGCACAAGGGATAGTATTTCATGTAGCATCAGAAAAACAATATTTTTAAAATATTTTTTCAGTCGTTTAATTGGCTCAACAAAAATAAAAGAACAATAGTTCTTGCATCAAAATAGTGCAGAAAATTACATAACTTTTCAGAATTTTCGGGATGATCTGTAAAATATGTACAATACACTTAAAAACAGTTACTGATGACACTGCTGCATTGCACGGTGTTATTTGTCCCTGTTGGGTTGTCCATCGTCGTCGCTTGCAAGTTCCACTGCATAATTAGGAGCACTGATTAAGGAGAGGGGGGAGCGGGAGATTCCAGCCATGTCCTAAAGAAAGTTTTACTACCAAAAGTGGAAGATCGTTTTTTTCTTGACCTTAAATCGGCAGAAAAAAGGTAAAACTCTTCGCTCAATTGGCAAGCCGCCCAGAATAGATCTATACACTTGTGTAGAGTTCTGTGTGCAAGTCTGACAACATTCAGTGGTTTTTATCATCTCCTTGGTGAGCACTCTCCATTTGTTGCAAAGCCTTTTTCAGCCAAAAGATCACTGCTCTGTCACGTCATTTGACAATAACTGTGCCATCAAGGGAAAGGAGTAGAAAGCACATGATTGCCTCATGTCCCCGGATTTGCGAATGGATTTGTTAAAACTACATGCCTTTTTGTTTTCTTTTTTTAAAAACACAAAGAATCCAAACCTACAAGAACCACACCCACTGGGTCAGCCATATACCGTTCGCATCGCAACGACGCCACCAACACGAATTTGTGAAAGCAGGACTCCTTGTTCGAATGATAAATTATTGAAATGTCAGTACCAAATTTGCAGGTAAATAAGCTTCATTAAAAGGAACCCCCCCCCCCCACAGTATTTTTGGCATGACACTTTCATTTCCATCTTCCCACACTGGGTCACAATCCACAGCCTTGTGCAATGCGGTTCTTGTTGCCTGTCTGACCTACGCCGCCAACATGTCCTATCCCACTACATTCTCCCGCGCACGCATTATGAACTACCCAATCCCGCCAGCATGTCAAGGCAATATCCATCTTTGGCTGCCCGCGATATGATGGAATCGGATCAGGCAGCGAAATCAAATAACCAAGGAGCTTCTGAATTTGCCTGCCTAAATCCCCTTTTCCGTGCACGCGTGGGATTCACTTCTCACCTGCCTTTTTGGTCAGACTTCTCTGGCAGCGAGAAATTCATTTGAGACATAACCTTCACCTAAATAAAGAAGGTTGCTGAATATCGTTTTTGGAAGGAAAAAACAATGCACAGAACCCATTATAGCCGCACACAGCCTGCATTCTAATTACCTCTCAATCTTCCTGGAGCGTAAAAAAACACGCTTCTCTCTTTAGTGCGCTTAATAAATAACCAAAAATACTCACGATAATAATTACCATTAGAAATAATATTCTCAACATTTCCATTAATCCAAATTAACTGTGTCGTCCAATGTTAGCGAGGCATGTTTTTTTCTGGCTGTTAACTGGAGCACTGCCCGCATTTTAAGACACATGCATGTACCTCATTCCCAGCTGTCAATTACAGATGTGGTAGCCAATTAATGTGCTTACCCCATAGTGACCTTAATAATCATGCTGCATGCCAGATCCATCAGCAAAAGCAATTATATAATCATTCTAATAAAGCCCTCTCCAAATAATGTAAACGCACCATGCTGCGCTGCAGGCAGAGTTCTAAAAAGAGATTTCTTGTGATACTTTTGCGGGTTTTAATTATTAATTTTGCAACTCACCTCTGAGTTTGGCACCATAATCATTTTTATTGTAACTGTATGTGTAAATGTTATAACCTACAGGATAGTTCATATATAAATACAGCTTCAGTTGTTAATGGAGACAAACCATGAAAAATGCACACATTTATTAACACTAATGTCTTATTATGTACACATATATACACTTCATATTTTTTATAATAATTTGAGTACTGATACCACACATTCTAATGCCTTACCTCAGCTAAAATACGAATGGCCGTGTCATTTCAAGTTTTATATAAATAACCAATGTACTTGAGTTTAAATGACCAAATACGGTGGTGATATGCCCCCTGTTTAACTATGAAGGACTCTGCCCAGATTGTTCGTGTGAAATCGAGGGCTGGCTCTGCTTGACCTATTTCCAGCCACTCGTAACTAATGGTTACAAAAACCTTCCCTGAATGTCGAACATTATTTTTTTAAGTCTTTGGAGGTAAATGTCAACAGCCTCACGCATGCCTTAAATAAACAGATGGGAGTGAAATGTTTTTTTCTAAAAATTCCGCTATGTAAGCTGATAAAGCATAACATGAAAATATAATGCTCAAAGGAATAAAAGGGATAAAAAGCGAGAACATGTTCCATCTGCCACTTTGGTGATAAGCCAGCTGCAGGTTGCTTCCACGTCAACTGACCTGGCACTGGCGTTGCAATAAACACTATTTGCCTGGTGCAGTACTTGGAACAAGATTTCCGTCACAGTGCCATCGCACTGCAACTTGACAACACAGTTGCCAGGTTTTGTGCTCTCACGTATGATGCACCTGCAATATCGGCGACAATGCACAGTAAGTGGCAGAGTGTCACTTGAGATTCTCACCCATCACAACGGCTGGCTTGGCCTTTCTTAGGTCCCAGAGCATAATTTTTCCATCCTGTTGGAATTGCATAAATCATGAAAGCTGTAAGAACATAATTCAATTTTAAAACAAATGTAAGTGCACGGACAGAAAGCACTCGTAAGAAAAGCTATTTTAATAAACACATTTTGCATAATTTAAGAAATGCTAATTACCATTAACCAACATTTATGAACACAAATTTACATAAAATTCGAGCACTTTAAAGAATACCTAATAATTAAAAAGGTATATTACATAAGCAGATAAGCCAGAGAAAGGATAACTAATGCTAGTGACAGGAACGTAATGTATCTTGTTGGTGGGTGAGTTAACAAGTAGGTGAGTGTTCAAGGGCCAGCGATATATATCAGGAGGGGAATAGCAGGTCATACGATGAAAAGCCCTATGCTAAGGCATTGCAACTTGCCTGAGAACAAGAGAGGAATAAGTTGTCATCGTGTGGCGAGAAGGAGACACAGTCCACGGAGGCAGAATGACCTACAAAAACAACGCACGTGACAAGAATTCTAAAAATGTGACAAGCAAGAAACATTTGAATGCCTTAAAAAAAAGCTCCATCATCTTCTTCTTCTCCTCGCGCACGGCTGATGTAGATGCAGAGCAACAACAATTTCACATTCAGGTGGTCAAGCCAGATAACCGCTTCAGGAGCAGTGAAGTGTATCGCTGTGATGTCTCCTTCGAATTTGTGGCTCGGGCATTGTGTCGTTATGTTGTAAGGTCTGTTTTGGATGATGACAGTTGCAAACTGGAGAGTTTTACATTTTCCATTTGTGCATCAGGTATCCGCATCTTCCATGGTTTTTGTGTATGCGGTTAAGGGCTGACCATGAGCTTCATGCAAGATCAAACCCAGGGATCTTGTGCATTGGCTCTTTCACGAGGTGTTTTTTTGGGGCGTTTTGAACTGCGTTCAGCCCTCCAAGCTTCATTGGGGTCAAACTCGCATTGTTGAAGGTTAAGTGCATGGGTCCAAAAGGGCTTGTGTGATTAACGTACATCAAGAAACCAAGGAAAAGTATTGTTGTTCGTGACAAAATTGTAATATAGGGCTTGGGTGATAAAGGAAAAAAAGGATGTAAATGCATGGGTAAAGATGTCATCACATTAAAGCAACTGAACACATGGCCGTTAATAGGTTGTATGTAAAATGTTGAGTTTTAGAAACAAGCACACACAAATTGATTTAAAGCTTTCGTGACTGCAGGGATTCATATTCTTGGTTCTTTCGGTAAAGTCACGTAGAAGCAAAACAATAAAATAATAAAATTATACAACAATGAAATTGTATTGTTTAATATTTTTATTATTAATTTTATTGTTTTAATTATGTTATTGTGTTCCCTTCTACGTGCCTTTACCGAAAGAACCAAGAATAAGCACACACAACTTCCATAATTTTGTCTGCATGGCTGTAAATAATAAATATATAACTACAGCACTAGCCCGTCATGTGCACTCACATCGTGCGTGCATATATGTGTGTGGTCTGCAGAATGCAAAACATATATCCAGGAAATGACAAAGAGTTTTTGATCACTGATGGCTTCCAACTTGTACACAGAGTAATCCCCCGGGTGTAATCACAAACAGCAAGCATCACAAAGCCCTGAGGAAGAATTTCACAGCAGCCAATTAACAGCATGGGCTCATTAACCCTACAATGATCATAGGTGTTATTGAGCATTCAGCAATGCTTTTAAGAGCAGGACATACTGGCTTTACAGCAGTTTTTATTGACTTGGTCCAAAGCTCTCACAAATAAAAGCAGTAGACGGAAGCCATGAAACCGATGTAATCGATGAAGTGAGAAAGAGGGCTTTTTAGATTTAAAAAAAAAATCTAATTCATGGGCATATTTCTAACAAATATATGGAGTGCATTGCACAGGACACGGTTAAAGGAGAACAGCATACACTCACAAAACTTGGCTTTGTGCAGTGGGATCGTCTGATTGCCGGATTACATCCTGATGTCGGCAAGGAATGCACCATAGTGCACATGACAAGACACGAAGACAGGGGTATCCATGGAAATATGGAAATTCAGCTTTCAAAAACGTGTCTCGCAGTACAATGACAGTCGGTGCTGCTGGTTCAATCACCGTATGGTTCAAGTGCTTACGCTTTTTATGTAGTGCTCTATGGATGTGTCTCGCAACGCTGCGGCACCGGTGGAGATTAACACGGGAGGTGTCGGTTAAAATATAACCATATTTTAGAAGAAAAATAGGTGTTTGTTCAATATGCCAAAACAAACTATTTAAATTAAAAAAAAATTCCAAAGCTAATTTTGATCAAAAAAATGTGCAATGTAAATGAATCCAATGCTGTGCGTTGCATCTGGATTGTTGCATTAAAAATTTACTGCATATTCCACATTTACTAAGCATTTTTATACGTATTTTGAAAATATTATAAATAGTTCAGTGCTGTAAGGATTATAAATATACATATTTGATAAACTACATTGTAAAAAATTAAAACATCTTTTCAAATACAAACACCAGGGTAGGTAAGCCTTTGAGCCTCGCTGAATGTATGCTTTATTTAAAAAAATGTTTCTTCCCAAACCATCACCTAATCTGCATAAATCTAATCGTCATGACTCGGAATACTTGACTGTTCACGTGTTAAAGGGAAGGTGCTAACACACAAATTGTTTTCATTTGCTGTATTCTACTCCCGGCAATCCTTAAACACCGTACACCAGTTGATGACATTCACACGCTCTAATGACCTTCACAGCCATCCCTAAAGTTGCTCTTGACATTTCGATGCTGCAATGTTTGCATACATTTTAGCACCGAGTAGTATACTAATTGGCTAATTTTTTGACGACAAAAAAAATATCCCAATAAGACAAAAATAATCTGCATTGTTGCACTTCTCGCGGGACTGTCATAGCAACTAACAATATTTGCGCATACTAGGATGAGCGAGTGCCTTTAATAGTTGTGCTGGTTATTTATTTTAAATTACCAGCTGCAGCTTTGCATAACTCTAATGGATTCCAAAGGTATGCACATAAATACTGTATTGGCACCGTTAACTGGCATGCCAATCAGCCGTGAAAAGTCAGCACCTTTATGGGTGCAAAGCAACGTGCGAGAATGAGCACGGGCAAAGGGGAGAACGTTGGAAGGAAATAACCAACGTTAGCCCAGAAATGATGGAAAATAGGTGTTTAGCCATCAAACGAATAGAACATTCAGGGATCAAGTAAAAAAATTCAGTGAAACAACACAAAAAGTAATTAGTTTATGACCAACATGTGACCCAGTTTTTTGGTGGATCATTTACCATAATCACCACTTTCACACGTCAACTGCTCAACGATCACACGTCACATACACAGTCATCTGCATGTGACCATCTCCCCACCTAAACTTTGCAAATAAAGTAAACTTATGAAATGAGTCACATACCGGAGTATCCATGAGAGCATAACACACGCATTTGTTTTATTTACCATTAAAAAAAACGAATCACTATTTTTCTATGAGCTTTAAAATGCAATGCTTGCTCTTCAACTAAAGGCATAACCAAATATTAATAAAATACCCAGATGTCTCGCTAAAATTGCATTGGTTAGCACACTTGCATTCCAGAGATAACAAGTTTGATCTCCTGCACAGCAGTTTAAGCAATGGGCAGGTTTCTCTTAATGGGGAAGGTGGGGATCAGCGTGCACACATTTAAAAAAAACTAATTTAGAAAATGCAAAATTATTTAATTGCGCTGAAGTCCAACGTGGTGAAATGTGGCCAAGCAATTTGATTTGCATTTAACACCACTTCTCGAACACGCGGAAAAATCAATTACGGCTCTCGTGCACACGCAATTTCGCAAGCACAACTGGGCCACAGTCAGATGTCACACTGAACAGCTTTGAGAGCGATCAGCATTAAAAGTAGGAATTAGGGTTGAGTTCATTCATTCAGTCCTAAACCAGTCATCAGCACACCTTTTTAAACCTCTGGCTAAAGACCGAAACGTGCTTGAAAGCCACACACAACTGGATACAAACTAACTTGGCATGTGCCTCAAATTCATTATGCAATCTCTTATTTAAAGAACGTGACTTCCAATAGCCTTCAATTAGCGCGGTTGGCTACGTTCGGTGCAAAAGAAGTTCAACATACTTACATCCGTACATGAAAACGAACCGACCATCTCATATCATCATTCCTCCAAGCAGCTTATCCTGCCCAAGCTTCTCATTGCTACGATTGATATGGTCAACAATTTCCTTCCGTTTTACGACCGCATAAACAAAATGATTCCCGCACGGCTTTGAAAAATAACATATTCGTGACAGAGATTAAGATATTTTGCAGTGAGAAACGTTACCAAGTAAAGCCTTTGATCGAATGGAAAAATCAGAGTACGATTCAAGTTTATTCTACGAATTAAATTTCACTCGCTTAAAATTTACAACTTCAAATATCCTGCAAAGTTTCGTTTTCAAAGACCAGTGCAAGTTGTAACTAAGATTGTTTCTTTACAATCTCTTGCACAGCTGTTAGATTTGGCCAGTGGGACCTTTTTTGCTGATACCAAGCCCTATAATTACAGACACTATCCTAAATTCAACAAGGTGCAAAAAAAAACTAGTCACAAAACATGCAAGCAGGCTACACGTTTGCAATGCCGTAACACGCATTTTTTTCATTTCTCAGGCGCTATGTTATTCCTACAAAATCCAGAGCTTACATAAAGTCATCATTAACTGAACCTGACAACTTAATTTCTCTGTTGGATGCGCTTGGCTGGTTACACAGTGTCCATTAACCAAAATAAGCATCTAAAGGCATTTACAGATGAAGCTGTCATTGTAAGGAAAGAAAATAAATGTTTAATATCGCTCAACAATATTAAGTCAATTTTGTATGATGGAGCGCTGAAAGTATGAAATCAGATGCTAATCGTCGTCAATATTTATAAAGCATATACATATAAGACTCAACCCAGTCATCCAGAAGAATACCAAGTTAACACCACGGAACTACAACAACATTTCTCACTAAAGTGGTACATTGCCATCACGTTATCAAGCTTTGTATGTATTACCATTTTGCAGGGTTCAAAAATGACACCATGAAAATATAAAACGGACACATTCCAAAGGTGCATGAGCAATCTGAACGTGATTAAACAGTATATTGCAAAGCAAAAATATCTTTGCATCAAAGAAAAAGGAAATGTAATATGACCTTGGGTGGATTATGCAAGCAATACATTCAAAACACAGGGAAACAAAACAAACAAAAACTTTCAAAAATATCACAAGTACCATCTGCTAGAAATGTGGTATAATCCCTCAACTGCTTTTATATGCTGTAACTCTTAGGACTATCCTAGGTTTTTTCCATTCCTTCTGACATACCTGGAAACATATTCTTGTTTCACTTCTACGTGACTTTACCGAACGAACCAAGAATGAATCCCTGCAGTCACGAAAGCTTTCAATCAAAATATATACCTGGAAACCTTATGTAAAACAAAAAAAAAAACGCCTGCTCATTTTGACCAATAACAATCAATGATATTAAACTGTATTTTCATACATCCCCACACAGACGACAAGAAACATTACAAATGGGATTCTCTCAAGGTGAATGTCTGAAGGTGAGGGACGCTTGTTCCCTTTAAGTGTTTTGAAACAACATCTCCCAGCCACAGCAACACCGGGGCTCCCCCCACGGTTTCCTCGCAGCCAGTTATCAATCACTGCACCGGCAGCCTTTGAGCCAGCTCATGACAAACAATTTGGGGATGAGAGAAAGGAAATGAGCTGTGAATTCCTAACCTTTTATATATATTTTTTTTCTTCCTCCTCCCAAGTCGCCTTGCTATGGGTAGGAAATCAATGTAGCGGTGAAGTCGCGCATGCGGATGCAAGACCACAACCCTTGCCCTGCGGTCCGCTGCAGGCGACACATCTGCTGGCAGCGCTTATGAGTTAAGGGCTTGACGTTTGTCTTCCCCTGACTTCTGTCCAGGCTGTCCAATGTGTCACGGGGGTTTGACCGAATTTATTTCAATGCATATTAAGTCATATCTGGATCATTAAAACAACCACTCTCAATGCAATACGACGAAGTTGAATTCCTACAATATTTACAGCCTAATGCTGAACCAAAGAGGGTTTTTCAAATGAATATATATATTTGAAGTTAATAAATCAATAACGCAAAGCTGTCAACATATTGTTGTATCCCATTGTTGTCTTCGGAGGGGCCCTTCAACAAAAAATGCAATACTGCCACCTGCTGATTTTTGTAAGTATTTGAAAGGAGGGGGAAAAATCCGCATAGGATGCAGAGCAACACAACTGTCCGCAGTGAACCTCGGAAGCCTCTAGCTTGCACGAACGACAATTAAGTGTGAGATACATTTTCTACGAGAATACACTTATATCCCCCCGATACTGCAGTGGGGACCACGCGCTTGCAACGAAAATGGGTTAACGCCTGCCATCAACAGCCACCCGAAACCTCAAGAACAACAAAATATAAATATATCTTTAAAAAAAACACAAATGCTTTGTGAAAACGATGCTTGTAACGCCTTGGTCTAATGTACTGGCCGGGGAAATATGTGGCATAGCAGCTGCTAAAAGCCTTCTAAGTGTATGCAACACATGTACTATATTTGCAATAATATTGTTTGCATGCAGAGGAAAAAACATGCTGATAGTGTCGTACATTATAAAGATACAATGCATTCATTTTGACATTTAAGTTTCATCTATATAAGGTAACGTACAAAAGAAAGGACAAGTATATACCATGGTAATGAGAAAAAAACCGTGTACAGTAAAACCTTGAATTGTGAGCATAATTCGTTCCGGAAACGTGTTTGTAATCCAAAGTACTCGCATATCAAAGCACTCGTATATCAGTTGTGATCACGTGACGCTCGGCAGACAAAGCGTATACGTACTACTCGTATTGCAAGACCTCGCTCGTTAATCAAACTAAGATTTATTTAAAATTTTTGCTCGTCTTGCAAAACACTCGCAGACCAAGTAACTCGCAATCCAAGGTTTTACTGTATAGTGCAAAACAAGTGCATAGAAGGTTTGACTAACGTATACTTGTTTATTATATTTTTTTAATCTCTGTTCTATTGATATTTTTATTATTTATTTATTATTATTTTTGCTTTATATATATTTTATTCTTTTGTTGTTTCTCTTCAACGTGACTTTACCGAAAAAACTAAGAATATGAATTACTGCAGTCACGAAAGCTTTAAATCAAAATTTTACGTATACTTGTTTATTATTCTTGCACAAGTCTAACAAAGCAATTTTAAATGGAATGCCTGTGGGTAAATATAAATGTAATCTGTGAATATACTGAATTAAGGACTTTACTACAAGTGCAAATTATGTTAATTATGTGCAATATATTACATTACAAATTAATGAAATGTAAACTAGGTGGTGATGGTGCATGCCTGCAAATAAGTGCTGTGGATGCCAAGGGTTGGTGGATTGGACAAATGCTGGTCATTGAGGAACCATACTCTGGCTTGCCTGAAGGCAGTTCAGCAAACAAGTTGAATCCACCTGTTCCTTCTGTATGGGATGGTAGTCTCCAGGTACTCCAGTTTCCTCCCACATGGAAACACTCATTAATTATCCAATAACACCTCAATATATTGAGGACTGCAGAGCTTTGGGGGGGGGGGATTTGGCGCTGGCTCACTGCCTGGCTGCTTTCCCGCGTTCCTCAGTCATTCTCTTCTGAGAGCGAGCAAATGCTCTCCTAATTTTGAAAACAGATTTTCAAATCAGTGATCACCAAGGCAACTATGTTTATTTTACCAGGTAATGCCCACTGAGCTATATAGCTTTTCTTCAGAAGAGACCTGGTCACAAATGATAACCCAATTAAATGACTTATCATGTGGAAATGTTTCTAAATGTGGAGGGAAAAACTGGAGGACCCGGATAAAAATCCACACGACCACCAGGAGAACATGCAAACTTCAAATATACAGATGTCAGTGTCAGGATCGAACCCAAAACCTCCTGTAAACCTTATGAGGTAGTTAACATCTTGCCACCACTTTCAGACAATGACTCACATCACCTGTGGTTCGTAATTTGAAGTGTAAAGATCTTTTGTGGGATACAAACTAAAGCATCAATTAAAAAAAGACCTTTAAGAATACACAGACCCAAGGTGGTCTTAGTCACTGCTTAATTAATTACCTTAATCAGCATGATTATTTACATTACAAAGTGCACTCAACACACTCGCATATATAGCCACTCAGGCACATGCAGTATTTAAATCAATCGCATGAACACCAAAGACAAAGTTCCCCTGTATAGCAGAACACCGTTGGGACAAAATCTATCACTGAAACCCAAGGCTGGAAAAGAGCACACGGGGGAGGGGACGGCGCGGCCAGCTCCAAGGCCAGTCCTGCCGTTGTCTCCTCAGTGCTGATATTCACTCGCTGCAACGAGTACTTCTTTAGCGCTGATCTGACCGAGAAGAGGTCCAGAACCGGTTCAGACATCGCTTGCCACCGATGTTACAGTCTTGGCCAGGAAACAAAACCTCAGGTCGCCAGGTCTGCGCCGCAATGCGCTAACCACTGCACCCCGCCGCGCAACACGCACTCACGGGCACCCACGGGCACCCACGGGCACCCACGGGCACCCACGGGCACCCACGGGCATCCACGCTTACTTGGCATGCCAGACAATGTGTCCCCTTATCTGGAGGTGGAAAGCATTGCACGTGGTGTGGGTGGAACAGAAATTAATTTTAAGACCGCGCTTGTCAATTTGTCATTTTTAAACGCTCTTGGAAAAAAAGGCAAACTATTAACACAAGTGACTTACCACGATATGATGACACCACTTTGAGCTCTGACAGGTCCCACACCTTCACACTAGGGCACACACACGTCACAGTTGGGATGTTAAAGACAGCAACGAGTACTCAAGCTGTCAAACCGAGGCAGATGGCAGTATTACCTGCTGCAATATCCTCTCATTTTTAAACACATTAATCAAGCTTGAAATATCACAGCGTATAGGACAATGACATAGATAGCGCTGATTTTGTCTGGCTGATGTAGAAGTAAATTTATGGATGAATCAAGTTTGCAATACAGCATTGACTATATGATTGTCTAAATAACAATAAAAACTATTTGACTTTCGCTGGATATTTTATATTAATATCTCACACTCTTTAAACAGGAGTGTTGCGGGGGTGTAATGATTCGCACGCTGGACTGGCAATCCAGAGGCTGCTGGTTCGATTTCACGCCATGGCAGTTGAAACAATGGGCACATTCATTAAACGTCAAACTTGAAACGTCGTACTCGAATTGTAAATGTTGTGGGTTTACTCTCCAACACACCGGTGTGCTGTACTAGTAACTAATTGGCACGTCTTGTTTACATGACAAACCTTACTAATTGGCTGTGTCGGGTGGTGGCAGGTTTAACGACACATTTACATTTTGATTTAAAGCTTTCGTGACTGCAGTAATTCATATTCTTAGCTCTTTCGGTAAAGTCACGTTGAAGGGAAACAATAAAATAATAAAATATATATAAAACCATAAAAAATTCTCACGACGTTTCGACCATAACACAAACGGTCATCATCAGGTGTGTCGGTTATAATTTTTATTGTTTTATATATATTTTATTATTTTATTGTTTCCCTTCAACGTGACTTTACCGAAAGAGCTAAGAATATGACACATTTACATTTACACGATGTAACCCCCAAAAAAACTAAGACGTCTGGGTAATGTAGAAAAGTAGGCCAAATTACCCTCAAGAGGTGGGCTCTAGTGCTGCCTATATCTTTACCTTTCTCCCCTGTATTCTTTAACATACCATACGGCGTTGCTAAGTTTGAGCCAATCTTTCTGCGGACAAGCAGAATTAACGAAGATGTACGAGGTGGAGACAACGTGCCACAAAATACCAACTGGAGCTCACAGCTCAACACAGTTGCCCACGTACACCTGACCACGTTAATTCTCTCCGGTGGACAGCTTCACAAACGCATATACTCAAGGTGTGCAAGTAAAGGTATTACACATTGTCAAGGTAATGTACAGCCCTTGCTATTGCTTTCTCTCGCCGTTCTGGCAGATAGACCCTCCACAAGACCCCCCCCCCCCTTCTAGAGTGGGGGTCGACAAACCAAAAAATAAGATGACCCATATTTTTTCGAATTCGGTAAAAAAAACCCCAATATTTAAAGAACCACAACGCTTGTAAATACGAGGCAGTTGCGAATAAATGACCTCACGAAACAGTCTTCAATTAGCTGCATGCAGCTCCGGAGCTGCAGCTTGCCGACCCGTGCTCTAGAGAATATTTGGCCTCTTCCATGACAGTCAATCTTCAAAGTGAAGAGGTAGGAGTACCTACACTTTACCCTATTGCACGTGATCTCACAAGCAACTAATTGTGGTGTGCTCGTTTGTACTGGTGGGTGGACAGAGGCAGGGGGATTTAAGAAACCAGCCCAAGGTTTCCAATGCCATGCCGGGAGATGGAATCGAACCAGGAGTGGTCTAGATTGCAAGTTGAGTGTGTAAAAAAAAAAACTATGGTAGCATTGTCCATCCATTGAAAAAATAAGTTCAAATCACTTCTGGTGCTCGTTTCTCCCTGCTAACAGCTCTTAACATGTATTTCAAGAACAGGGACATTGCGTATTCTGTATGACAAGGATAAGTTGCCCAAAACACTGAAGGGATTCCGTCAATCCCCTGTTTTTCTTAAAAACCAGTGGGTACATTTTTCAAAATTGAACCACACAAATCTAACTGCAAAAACATCTCACAATTCAATCTGTAACAGCCGAGTATCTCAACACCTGAAGATTAATTTGACACGTGTCAGTTTCATCGATTTTACAGCAGGCAAAAGGATACGTGCATGCACTCGCTCCCAGATTAAAAATTCAATGTCATATCCACAAAAGAAGACTATTTGACATATCTATGAATGTTTCACACGTTAATATCAGGATACAGCTATCCTCTGGTCCAGTCTAAAATATATTCTATGCTTGAATTACAGGACGACTCAACCCTGCCTTGAGTACAAAAAAATGGAAACTCAGGGGTGCCATGGTGGCAATAAGTTAACTCCCTTGCCTGGAATGGAGGAGGTATTTAATTAATTAAGCAGTGAGTAAGATCACCTTGGCTCTGTGTATTCTAAAAGGTATATTTGTTTTATTGATTCATTGGTTTTTATCCCAAAAGAGCTCTTTACACTACAAATTTCGAACCACATGTGAATCATGGTCTGCAAGTGGTGGCAAGATGTTAACTACCTCAACTGGTAGACAGGAGGTTTTGGGTTCGATCCTGGCCCTGATGCTTGTATATTTGTAGTTTGCATGTACTCCCCGTGGCCACATGGATTTTTTCTGGGTCCTCCGGTTTTTCCCTCCACATTTAGCAACATGCGTTTAGAGCATTTGGCTGCTATAAATTTACACGTGATAAGCCACCACATTGAGCTATCATTTGTGGCCAAGTTGCTTCTGAAAAAGAGCTACATAGCTCAGTGGGGGCTTTACGTGGTAAAATAGAAAATATATTCTTTAGTTGTTTTGTCCTTTATACATTTTAATATTTACCAAATCTTGGGAGATTACATTACAGCGCTGATTATCAACGATCCTCCTATATTAACATCATACATAGACCTCTATAAAAAAAACTGTACATTAAAAACTACATGGTACAATAGTGTTGGTCAGTGCACCAGATTCCTCGAACAACTCGAGACGTGGATTTTAAGACTTGCGAGTGTTAATTTCAAATATACACATCATCAACTTTTGAACCCTATACCGAATGTCACAAGCACAGCATGATTTATTTGCCAACAAACTAATCACGAGGTAGAGTTTAAAATAATCCAATTCTATGAAAATAAAGAATGTGAAATTACTTTTGTAGAATACATTTTATGTAAAAGACATTTTGCCACAAGCTAAATAAAATCCATTTCACCAGCTAATCTTACGAGCCATAAAAATAAATTGACTTGTTCATTTTTTTTCAAATGTTCAACTCAACATTTAAGTTTCTGTGGAACTGCCCTGTAAAAAAGGAACTAGAGTATTAAAATAAAGACACTTTCCGTGAGAACAATGTATTTTATATTTTCAAGTAAAAACGTATTTCTGACATTATAAATGCACTTCCTGAATGATAACCTTATTGTTGTTTCCATTATAGTAGGCAACAATATTATATTTAATGTTTCTATTTGCAAAATCTCAACCCATGCATAATGTGTCAATAATAACTCCACCACCGTGGACAACTTTTTATTGCTTTAATCAAAGGGGTTTTTTTTTTCTGAGTACACAATACAGAGAAAACATCTGGGTTTTATAAAAAAAAATTACGCCAACCCCATGGGATTTCCAAAATTACAAATCATCCACCTCGGTAGACAGCACAATCACAATTTTAGGGGCTTGCTGATTTATGTAAAAAAATGCTTCTTTCGTGTTTTAAGAGTACTTGCAAATCGCATTAATAAATAAATAAAAATTCTATGTTGCATTACAGAAGTGACATTAAGATTATCCATGCATTTGTTTTAGCTGCCATGGGTATGATACTTTTTTTAATGTGTTATAATTCAGAAGTTCACATTGTGACATGTGCTACAAAATTTTACAAATAATTATAACTTATATCGTTCTATTTTATACCAGACCACAATTTTTTTGCTGGGAAGAAATGTGATGGGATTTACGACTTGGAATATCGTAGTTAACACCAAAGTGGAAAAATAGCAAGTTCGAAAGGATGCTGACGCAAGCAATCAACAAGGTTTATGGCTTATTTGAAAACAAAGGGAAAATTAATTTCAAGCAGGAGAAAGGGAGGGAGAAGACACTTCCCCATATAAAAGAGGATTTTTTTTTTTAAATCTGTGCCTTACATTATGCTTGGGTGACAGAAAGCTGGAGCCATGTTGCAGAGGAATATAACGACACAGCCTGAAACACATTTCTAGGGAGAGTTGTCAGGGGATAAATGAGCGCAAGTTAGAAGGAAAATTAGAAGGAACGTCACGAGTAAATGCCACCACGTGTAATGAGAAGGAAATATATATAATTTATTTTAGCCTTCAGGATTGTGTCGGCAGTACACTATCGAGGGTCTGTGTCGAGTGGATGAGAGGAGACCCATCATGCAGGGCCCAATCAGATCTCCAGGGTTGAGAGAGCAGGCCGTGGGGTAGTAGAGGCTGACAAGGTCTGCAGAGCAATGACAAGAATGGGGGCGAGGCGCTCACGCTCTGTTGTGTTACCAGCCTCTGCTGTAATGTACAACTGTCTCATCGGACTGATGAGGTCGTGGTAGGGCGAAAACCTTCCACAATAAAATATATATACTCTCTGATTGTGTATAGAGGATGGTTTGATGAAGGACATTATAGGAGGAAGAATGGAAGTGAAAATAATCTGAGGAAAGAAGAGGACTGGGATGCTGGAGGAGCTGAAAGGTCGACTGTGGAAATGAGCACAACAATGGATGGGGAAGGTGGAATCCCTAAGAAGAGGGTCTTGTGTAGGGGTGATGAGGGCGAGAGAAACAACACCCTCCACCCTGAGCATAACCTGTGTAAAACATAATTCCTCCTGTGAAAAGAACAAGTCTTGTCAATTATTTCCGTCATTAATAAATGATTCGCATGTTCGGTTTTTTTCTCTCCTGCATGTTATTGGGGGTTGGGTGATTAAACTCCCTCAATTCTTAAACCTGCAGTCGTGTGAGATTGCTCTGACCACACAGTTAGATAAACCAACCATATTTTTAAAAATGTATATTCCATTTGTGACACACATAGGTTTATTCTTTTTTTAGATTTTGATAAAGGAATTATTTTGAATGACACTCATTTTTTTTAAAGGTCTCTAGTTCATTATTTTGTATAAATTGTGAAGCACAAGAGATCACTGGCAAATTACCAGACATCACCTATTGAAGTGTATGGTCTTCATTTAGTCTTGCTCCTACATATTTTGACAACTATTTGATACAGCATTCTGTTACTAAGGTCGCAGCAACATAATTGTAGCTCATGTCTTAATTTAAAAGTTCCCAAGATTACAAGAGACAATTTCACAAACGGTTTACTCTTTACATCATTGCACAAGGTAACTGCTTTTTATCCCCAAGCATAGATTTGTGTACCAATAACGGTCATCAAAGGCTGCATATTTTCTGTCACTGCTGTGTCTGAATGCCTGAAACCTTGTCGCTTGGGACACAACACACCTGCGGTCCAGGCTGCCAGACACAACCCTTGACCCCGACGTGCTGATTCGGGTGACAATGTCATTGTGCTCGTAGCGGCAGTGTCGGCTGCAAAGGTAGGCCTCGTTCTCTGCCAGCTCCCACAGCTCCAGTGCACCTGGCACAAAGACACACACAGAGGCCAAGTGAACATCCGCAATCAGGCTCCGCATGAAATTCTTTTGAACTCCGATGGGATTTATAGTAAGGGGAGTCTGACAACATAAATGCTGTCACCTCGAGGAATAGTTTTATTTAAGTACCATATAGCACAACTGACATATCAATATATACCAAAAGCTTAAGAAGAGAGTCAACCCTCAAGATTTGTTTTGGATGAAGGAGACGTAGTATTGGGAAATGGAAGTAGTGCCAATTTATGCCTATCCCACCTGAAGCTTGAACTCAAGATCTCATTAAGGACCTCTTCAGTACAAAGGCTTGGTTGGGCATTAGCTCCCTAAGCTGTGCAAGCCAGATTTAATAGAGTGCTATATATGGACCAACGTTACTCAATGTTCTTCATTTTTTGTGGCCAGGAACTCGAATACAAAGACAGCAATTGCCAGTGGCTGAAGGGTTAGGACAAGAAAACCACAAACATCCTCCTGAGTGCATCAGTACAGGGGGTATTGTCAACAGAGTATTAAAGGTGGATATTTCATAGCAGATGCAATGAAATGCGATACATACACCAAACCATAGAAAGTTATGAGGCACGAGCTTAATCGGTAGTGTGCAACTTAGTTGCTAAATTGCGAGTGATAATTAGCACAAAACTGTTTCCCGACAATTACAGCAATTGAAAATAGCAGGGCTACAAGCGCGGACCATTTTGGAATTAGACATTTCACCATCATTGCATCTACAATTAAAACATGACAAGGATAGGATAACACACACTTTCTTAGGAGCAACCTTGTTTTCAAAACAATATAAAGAAATGCCATACGATCTACAGCACTTGAATTCTACACAGTGGTTTTCACAAGTATTCAGACAAGTACATTGCCTCAAGACATGCAAATGTGGTGAACCCTAAAACTGTTTGCATTCAATTCTCTCAATGGACTGGTGATTTATTTTGGGAAAACACAAATAAAAAATGTAGCTCGGTCTATTTAAGAGTGAAAAATATTGAATTTTCACAGACTAGATATATACTACTAAAGAGAAAGAAAACTATAATACCAATCCATTGCCGAAGCAAATCACACAGACAAGGTAACAGAAAAAAGTAATTAAAACAGTGCACAAAAGCATGGCAATTTGAGCCACCATAAATATTAGACAAATGTGGCATAATATGTCAAAAATGATAACTAAATTATAAGGCTGACTGGTGTTATCTTTAAAAAAAACGTCGTGAAATTATAGCTGAAGTAGATGCTATACAAAGTCCAATCATGATACAATTTATATTCATATGTGGCTTGAGTTTAAAAGACAATTACATGCACCATTACAATAATCCAAAGATTCACACATTACCAAAACAAAGCAAGGTAATTTTTGCAGTGTCAAATTCTATTAACACAATGTAAATCCTGAGACACATCCAGAGACAATGCTATTTTATGGTTGTGGCTAAAAGTACAATTTCCCGACAAGCTACAATCTAGTAAAAAGCTCTGTGTTCTTTATAAGTGAGTGTTGTGAGGAGTGGAAGAGCAAGTGTTTTTGGCTTACAATCTATATTGGGAGAAGGCTATTCCATCTCGGAATGGCATCTGCAATAAAACCATTAAAATAGAGCCCTCCCCTGCCTGTACAATTATAAACACGGCACTTTAGCACGGCTTTAAAAGGGATAGAGCCAGACCAGCTTGCAACACCACATGCATACTTTCCACATGGGCAGAATTAATAAAGAACGCACGTAGATACATTTTCACCTCGTCAGTTTGCAGAACCATAATGAAAACATATGTGCATGTGGAGAAAAAAAATCTAGAAAATGTTGATACACAGTCAAACTCCTCTTGTGTGGGCTGAAACATAAGATGCTACGGACAGATCCTCATTTAAAATAACACATTTTACTCCACTCGTGTATTCCTGATGGTCAAAAAAAAGTTATGCGAGTGGCAGCCAAGGAAAGGAACTAGCCCCTAAGGACGTATACCGAAGAGCAGTGTGTCGGTGCTAGGCCTATTGTTTGTCACAGGACTGAGAGCGATGCCGACGACTTGAGGCGGCCTTCGTCCATTCGTGAATTGATCACGGTTGCTTATGATCTGCGTTTCCTTGCAGACAATGATGAGTTAACCACCATTTTTCAGTTATTCTGCTTATCCACACAAAGTAATGGATAATTTAATAAATCTGCTTCCACCGCAGGGTTATTCACCTGGTCTGAATCTCAGCGCTGATAATAGTGTAGTGAGTCACTCAGAGACACTAATACTAGGAGGCACTCTATTTATTATAGCCTTCACAGGTACAAGGAGTAACTACACTATGGTCAGGACAGCTAACAGGCTGCCTGACCAACAACACTGAAGGTGAAAACGGTGATGAAGACTCCAGCAGCACGACGGGTCCCACTCCAAGCAGCCCCGAACCTTGCTCAGGGTCCCCCCCTTTTATCCACCACCCAGCGTGGCCTCGCTCCGCCTTCCGCCATGCCCCCCTTCGAGACCCTACTAGAAGGTTCCCGGGCTTTACCTCACGTCCCCCCTCTATCACCTTTGCCCCACATCCCTTTCTCCGCTTATCACATGACCTGCTGGCAGACAGGGCTGCTACAACAGCCGATCCGCCTCTCTGCCAGCAACCAGCGCTACGCGCCAGTAACCCATTCCATGTCACTACAATAGGATGAATTGCGTATTTCCAAAAAAATCACTTCCAGGTCGGGTCTAAAGCATTGATCGCAGAAAATGTGGGAAAATGCACGGGACTTCTGGGTTACCATTCTTAAATGCTCATCCACGCAAAAGTGTGGATATTAGGAAGAAAAGATGTGGATAATAGTAAGGTCTGTGAATAGCTTGGGGGACATGGATAATTGGAAAGACAGGTAAAAGGAATAAGGATGAGGCTTTTTTCTTTATTACTTTTTAAAACTATGACAGAGTAAACATTCTCAGACGTTTCTTATTATTCATAATCTGCAAACTAAAGCACTGTAACCACTGAAAGCTCTTCATGGATTTGCTTAGCAAATTATCATAGAATTCCACTAATTATCGAAGCTCCTTCAAGGTAAAAAGGCCTCGCGTCACAACTGGTTTTCTTCATAATGAAAGCAATTTTAATGAGGAATAGGTCAATGAAAAGCCATGCTTGACATTCCTTTGCTTTTAAAAGATAAGAGGAAAGATGTCTTCACCAACTTAAAGTTAGACTTTAATTTTCTTTCGCCGTACACGCAACACACGAGCCTGCATTTGTTACGCGTGCAGACCGTGCGTCTCCTTTCATGCACCCATTATTCTTGTTACATCTCCTTAGTTTGTAACACATCAACAAAAAGTTAAGTAAATGAAAGGGCGTATATTTTTGTGCAATGAGAACATAGGCAGGCTGAAACATAATAAAGCCCCCAACGAGTAAGTAAAATTTTCTGAACGAACATGTTCTGTCCTTAAATCTTACTTTTTTGCATATCGAGTATTAAGGTGGTATCATATGGTTCCTGACATTTTTGCTGTTGCAACTTGCTGACCCACCCCTACAAGTTTATGTATCCTAGATTCCTCCAGGATACATAAACATTCTAATTCTGAATTAAAAAACCAAGTGCTCGACACCCATTTGGTTTAGTCATTTATAACAATCAGCTATGCTCTAACCACTGCTAACTTAAGTTCACTTCAAGTCATAGCTATCCAAAATGATCTTGTGATACAACAATCCATCTAACTACTCCACAAACGCTGATCTCACTTCTCTATTTTCATGGTGGACCTCCTCTCGATCATCCTCTCAGGCTGTCATGCCATTATTCTACATTTCAAAATTCAGCTTCTATACTTTTACAACATCTACGACCAACTCACCTGCAGGTTCTCCATGAAAATCCTTTCCTCAGGATGAAGATCGAACAAGCGGCTAAGTCTACCAAGATACAAACACACGTTCTGGTTGTGTCCAGATATTTGGGGTGTCAAGGTGGCGAGATGTTAACTACCTGGCCTGATATGCAGGAGGTCGTAGATTCAAACCCGACCCTGATGCCTGTATATTTGGAGTTTGCATGTTCTACCCGTGTTCGTGGTGATTTTTCTATGGGTGCTCCTGTTTTTCCCTCCACATTTAGAAACATTAGATTAGAGTATTTGGCTGCTGCAAAACGCACCATTATAGCCAACTGGAAAGAGCATGCCCCCCCCAACACTGCAGGAATGGGCCAATAAACTGTCAAACACTGCCGCTCTAGAGCATCTAAGTGCAATAGTAAGGGGCAGGGAGGAAGTTTAACCCCCAAACATGGAACCCCTTCACTACCTCTCGTTCCGTTGGCATTCATTCTTAAGAGCATTCACGAGGGCATTTAGGCACTCCCCCCTTTCCCCCACCTCCCTGTTTTATTCTTCTTCTACAGGGGTATCAGAGCTTAGGAAGACACTAGGGTTGTAGAGTTTATTTAAATAGTTTATTGAAACATGCGCTTTAGACAGGTTCCCATTGCACTGCAATCCATAATGTGTTTGTGCTGATGTCTACACCCTTTCAAATAATCTGTGTGTGTGTACCGGAATCATTATGTTAATAAAAATGCTTTTGCAAAAAAATAGTATTTGGCTGGTAATACATTTCCACATAAGCCACTTCATTTGGCTATCATTTGTGGTTATCATTTTACCAGTTAAGCGGGCCTTGCCTGGTAAAATAAAAAAAAATATTTAGTTAAGTTTTTCAGAAAATTCACGTACAACATTCAAACGTTATTCAGTATTTTAACCACATTCATTATGCATCGGTTATTCCTAACCCAGACATCTGCCTTTCACAAGGCCTTCCCACCTCATTGTTAGACCTTGTCATACTGCAAGAGTTGAAAGGGCACAGTCAACCGATGTTTATATTTTTATTTTTTTCAAAGGATAAAATGAACATCGTGGATGGCTTCCATCCGACGTGAAATGAGCACATTACAACAAATGCACCTGGGGAGATCTTTGTACAAGCAAATTACTTCCCCTGAGAATAAGGAAACTGAGCGAACAACTTCGAAAAAATGTTGCAAAGTTAAGTTATAAATGCATAGGAGAAAAGAGTTATGCTGTTTTACAACACCAGAAATTTTAGGGCTTTTATTTTTCAATGATGTATTATGGTTTTCGTAGAGCAAATACAGGAAATGTATTGTGATTTCAAGGCAATATATGAAAAAAAAATCGATTCATAAAAAAATATTTTGGCTTTGCAAATTGTGCACATTTAATCTTCATTAATTTATTTGGCCTCCGTATTTATGGGGGAAAATTTTAAATGGTAGATAGAGCAGGTCACCATCAAAAAGCAACACATTTAAGGAAAATGTTTTCCCATATCAAATGTAATCTTGCAAAGAAATGTGTGGTGCTTAGAATTCCATGCAACCACCATTGTTTTGAAAAGGCAGTAGTTTAAATGCTTTTGTAAAATACCCTGTTTAAATGTACGTTGTATGTATTTTTTTTTGCATTGGCATTCTGCTGCTGCTGCAAGGAAATCACATTTTATACAGGCAGGCTAATCCTAATATTCCCTAAATACTAGACTTTATTGACAATAGCTTCGTCTCGGTTGGCAGTTCATAACAAAGCTGACAATTCTAAACAGCAGATTCACCAACTCAGGCATAAAAAACTTTTTTTTGTCACATTTTTGTTACATTTCAATACTACTGTGAACTAAAAGCTCGCATTTTTTTTATACAAGTGAATTACAAGATAACTATTTTTTTTATTTTAGCAGGTATGGCCCACTGAGCCGTATAGCTCTTTTCAGAAGCAACCAGGCTACAAATGATAACTCAACCAAGTGGCTTACCATAGACCCGGATAAAAATCCACACGACCATCGGGAGAACATGCAAACTCCAAATATACAGGCGTTAGTGTTGGGGTCGAATCCACGACCTCCTGTACACCAAGCCAGACCGTTAATATCTCGCCCTGGCAGTACCCCTACATTTGGCCACACGTGTTATTACATTTTCACCGACCAACTTTCTCTTTTAATGGCCTACAATTTTGTTCCATCGCTGCTCCACACAATCCACTGTCAGGTGAATTAAAGTCAAGTTGTAATTAAAAGAAAACAGAATTCAGCTCCAGCACCTTAATCGACTTTTCCGTGGCAGTACACACACAAAAGACCGAACTGATGCCACAGCAACTGTTCTGACCTGCCAGTGCCCATTTGGACTCCTTTAACTTGGCCAGCAAATTACTTTCCCAGACACAACTGCAGCCTCTTCTGCTGTACATGATAAATCACCTGCAATTTTATATCAAGATACCAGCTTCTTTTCCATTACACTTGCTCTTTACCCATGCACATGCCATTTGTATCTCTAAGCTTAGATTGGAAAAGATTAGTGTTCTTGATTTTTGTCTCGAATACAAAAAAAAATTGATGTACATTAAATTGTATTTTTTTTCAGTGTAACTTTATCTTTTAGCAAAGTTAGATTTTTTTAAAATTGTGAAAGACTTCATATTCTTTGTTAGGCCTGCCGTGAATGTATTGACAATGCCAAATATTTGTGTATAACAAATCATGTTATTTGCCGATTAAATAAAACGCAAATTTATATTCACATCACATTCCCCACTGCCTGCATCCAGGCAGCAAAGAGATCTGCTAAAGAATGTTTGACTATATGTACTGCTCAGCACCTGTTCCCAGATTAAAACCATTTTACACATTTTTTTATTTAACTCAAACCATTTCATCCCATATGTTGGTATTTATTCGAAGAGAATATTGAAATTGAACATCTCTTTTGTGTTTTCAAAACCAGTGTTAAGACTATATTGATTACGAGACTCAGGAGAAACATGTACGCGCATGTTAGGCACATTATTAAATGTTTGCCAATTCTGAAAATGCCAGCACAGCAATAGTAAATAACATTTGGTTTAGAATTTCCAAAGCAAACAAAGCAGCATAACAATATTAAACAGCCATTAATTTTTTTGTAATTATTGAGTACAAAAATGTGATGTCTAAAAGACTATGCAGAAAGTCACAATTCCGTTGGACTTCATGCCAATATCCAATTTAGGACTCTTCAAATTGCAATGCACGACGTGCTAAGGAATTTTTGTATTCCAAACCTATCCTTTCTCATGGTTAAAATGGCCATTTAAATTAAGCAGAGCACTTGCTAAATTCAAATTATTCCAAAGTTGCAAATTACATGTAAGCCAAGAATATATGCATCCAATTTTCACTTAAATCTACTCTATCAGGACTGTGATCCAATTGACTGCGTGTACCAAATCTTTTCACTTAGCACGTTATTTTCCAGAGATATTCATTATACTTGTTATTTTTTTTACTTCATATGATATCAATTTCACACCTGCCAACCAAGAGAATCAATTCCATTTTCTATTTTACAAACATATGGCTAACCAATATTGTAGCACCAATTCCAAAGATGCATATCTAATATTGCATCTGTTAAAATTGTCAACATAAAATGCCCCTGTAAACTCGTTTACAGAAACCCTCATTAATAGGTTAAAAGGTGCAGCCCTGCAATTGCTTCCTTGTACCACTGCTTGCAGAGCAGCCTCAACCACATGGAGCTTTAGAAAGCCCGTCTAGAGGGTATCTGGCCTACTCATTAATACTGCTGGTTGGAGAGAGGCAAGGGAGTTAAGAAAATTGGCTATTGCCATGTGGTGGAGAGATCGAACTGGCCAAGCATGCAAATGGACAGGAAATACGCCGCATTTGCCATCACTGTTATAAACGAGCACATTCAAGGCAAGAACGAGAAGCTGCTGCCCCCCCCTTCCCTTACACTATCTGTAGTTGTATATATATATAAAAAACGTGGGGACCGTTCCATCACTTATTACCAGAATCCGAGGCCACAAGGATGCCCTTGTCGCCGACCCAGAGAGCATCGGCAACACCTGCCTCCGTCTGCACTCCTGCACTGCAGAAGCCCTCCTCGGGTGCTTTGGAGGGGTCCTTGTAGAACCAGATGGATCCCATCCAGTAGCGGCCCGTTAGACTGGAGGCACCGAGCAACATAGCACCATCATCTGTACACACCACGCACATATTCCACAGGGTGCTTTTTGAATATTGCGCAAATTGCATTACTACGCATTATAGTACCCTCTTTGGTTATGATAGGGCTTGGATTGTGTTCTTGTGAAATGCGTAACGTTGAACTGTTTCAGCTTTTTTGGTGTGCACGACCAACGATATGCCTGTTAGTGTTGTCCAGTCAATGTCACTGTCCTTCAATACAGTGTATCTCCAACCAAATGCCTTGGTGAAGGCTGCAAACAGATATTTGCCTTCAGACTGCGTGTTAAATTAGTGTAGAGTTTTTCCATGTACAGTGAGGGAAAAAAGTATTTGATCCCCTGCTGATTTTGTACGTTTGCCCACTGACAAAGAAATGATCAGTCGATCATTTTAATGGTAAGTTTATTTGAACAGTGAGAGACAGAATAACTACAAAAAAATCCAGAAAAACGCATGTAAAAATGTTAGAAATTGATTTGCATTTTAATGAGGGAAATAATTATTTGACCCCTCTGCAAAACATGACTTAGTACTTGGTGGCAAAACCCTTGTTGGCAATCACAGAGGTCAGACGTTTCTTGTAGTTGGCCACCAGGTTTGCACACATCTCAGGATGGATTTTGTCCCACTCCTCTTTGCAGATCTTCTCCAAGTCATTAAGGTTTCGAGGCTGACGTTTGGCAACTCGAACCTTCAGCTCACTCCACAGATTTTCTATGGGATTAAGGTCTGGAGACTGGCTAGGCCGCTCCAGGACCTTAATGTGCTTCTTCTTGAGCCACTCCTTTGTTGCCTTGGCCGTATTTTTTTGGGTCATTGTCATGCTGGAATACCCATCTACGACCCATTTTCAATGCCCTGGCTGAGGGAAGGAGGTTCTCACCCAAGATTTGACGGTACATGGCCCCGTCCATCATCCCTTTGATGCGGTGAAGTTGTTCTGTCCCCTTAGCAGAAAAACACCCTCAAAGCATGTTTCCACCTCCATGTTTGACGGTGGTGATGGTGTTCTTGGGGTCATAGGCAGCATTCCTCCTCCTCCAAACACGGCGAGTTGAGTTGATGCCAAAGAGCTCCATTTTGGTCTCATCTGACCACAACACTTTCACCCAGTTGTCCTCTGAATCATTCAGATGTTCATTGGCAAACTTCAGACGGGCATGTATATGTGCTTTCTTGAGCAGGGGGACCTTGCGGGCGCTGCAGGATTTCAGTCCTTCACGGCGTAGTGTTACCAATTGTTTTCTTGGTGACTATGGTCCCAGCTGCCTTGAGATCATTGACAAGATCCTCCCGTGTAGTTCTGGGCTGATTCCTCACCGTTCTCATGATCATTGCAACTCCACGAGGTGAGATCTTGCATGGCCCCAGGCCGACGGAGATTGACAGTTCTTTTGTGTTTCTTCCATTTGCGAATAATCGCACCAACTGTTGTCACCTTCTCACCAAGCTGCTTGGCAATGGTCTTGTAGCCCATTCCAGCCTTGTGTAGGTCTACAATCTTGTCCCTGACATCCTTGGAGAACTCTTTGGTCTTGGCCATGGTGGAGAGTTTGGAATTTGATTGATTGATTGCTTCTGTGGACAGGTGCCTTTTATACAGGTAACAAGTTGAGATTAAGAGCACTCCCTTCAAGAGTGTGCTCCTAATCTCAGCTCGTTACCTGTATAAAAGACACTTGGGAGCCAGAAATCTTTCTGATTGAGAGGGGGTCAAATACTTATTTCCCTCATTAAAATGCAAATCAATTTATAACATTTTTACATGCGTTTTTCTGGATTTTGTTGTTATTCTATCTCTCAGTGTTCAAATAAACCTACCATTAAAATTATAGACTAATCATTTCTTTGTCAGTGGGCAAACATACAAAATCAGCAGGGGATCAAATACGTTTTTTCCCTCACTGTACACTGGTGTACAGTTTTTGCTGATCTCCACCTGGAATGCAATTTGCCACTCTACACTCGGACGCTAAGCAGAGTTGAGGCTGAATGTGTATCCGCCATGTATAAAACAGATGTTGTAGGCTGCTGCGGGCCTTTGCTGTCAGCAGAGGGCAGTGCAGAAAAATCCATCGTTGCACTGTACTATGCTCCAACGTCTGTGCCCTTCCTGCCTTCACCAACTTGCTTCACCAGTGTAATTGCATTGTAAAATAACCACCTCAGACTGTAGTGTGGGGAGGCCCTCATCCACGAGTAGATCAAAAGCTAAAATGAGGATTCATGGCAAACACAGCGGAAAGGTATACTTTTTTTAAAATTGTTTATTCTGTCCATAATACAGGTTTTTTTGGGTTAGATCGCGCAAATATATAAATGTGTCGTTAAGTACAACAATTAATTGCACTTGCGGCAAATGCTATGTTGGGCAAACAGGAAGAATGATCAGCACGAGACAAAAAGAACAAAGAAACATTACATACTCCCAAATGCAAATGTCAGCAGTAGCAGAACACGCGTGCCAACAAGGACACTCAATTGATTTTGATAATGTTGAAGTTCTGTGCAAAACTAGTGACTACTGGCCAAGATTAATTAGCGAATATATCTAAATTGAGAGAAATAAAAATAATTTTAACTATTCAGATAGCTACAGACTTAGTGCTGTATGGAAACGAATCATCAATAATACATTCTTTAAAACCATACCTATACAGGTCACCATATTTTAATCGGGATTACCGCTATTTTCGTACATACAATCGACAGGAAGTTCAATAACAATTGGCTCGCATAATGCGCGTGCATAATGTTAGCTGATTATCATATAAATAACCCAAACTGTAATGGATATCCATAGTCATTAATATTCATTAACTAATCCCCCCCCCCCCCCAACGAACTTCGCGCCAAAAAAGTGCACAAGTGTTGTCATCGCATCTACGCGTCTATTTAAGGAGCGAAACAGATGGACTTCTCCACAAATCTGGCTGTCGCCTGATGAAGCTAGTTGTAACTACTGGCGAAACGTCGTACTCAGGTTGTAAATGTTGTGGCTTGGCTCTCCAACACACCGGTGTGCTGTACTAGTTACGAATTAGCATGTTCTGTTTACGTGACAAACCTTACTAATTGGCTGTGTCGGGTGGTGGCGGGTTTAATGACACATTTATATATTTACGCGATCTAACCCAAAAAACTGTATTGTGGATGCCTATGTGTTAAACTGCTTATTCTGTACTGGAGAGCAGTGGTGCAGTGGTTAGCGAACTGTGCTGTGTGCAACTTGCAATCGGAGCTCAATTCCCATCCATGGTTAACTGATGAACCTGATCCTGGTTCTCCACCCATTACCACCAGGTCCACCAGCTCACTGACCAGGGCGAAGTATGGTCAAAAAGCATCAATGACGAACACGGTGCGACGAGGGAGTCCATTCACAAAATGCTGTAATTTTTTTCATGCATATTTGAATATAAATTACAATACACAAAATGGGAAAAAAACAAAATTAATGTTTTGTTCACTGGGGCACCCCCATTTGTATTTGTTGACATTTCAGGAAGACCTAAGGGGGTTCCCCAAAATATATTAGGCTTGCACAAGGAAATTGAACATTGCACTGTAAAATCTACATCTGTCCACCTACACGAGGATATGCGTGATTCCACGTGTGTCACCTATTTCATCACTTTAATGCAGAGGCATGACAAGTTTTAAGGCATCCACTACCCCGTGGCAATAAATCTTGCTTTGCAGTATGCCCAGTGTTGGTTTGCAACAGACGCCAGTCCCTCAGGTCATTAATTATTTTGTATGAAAGGAAACCTTGCAAACCATCAAAACTCAAATCGCTGCACATGCAAATAACTTAATGCATCACGTTTGACAGTTTTCGCGCAACACGAAAAACATGTTCCCGATTTTCCTGCGCTTTGACTAGGAGTTTTGCGCCACCTAGTGGCAGGATTTGTTGATTACACATGACAATACATAAAATTGTCTATTTTTCTCGTTTCTATGAAGCACACGCTGTTGTGAAGCATTATGGGTAATAATATGGAGAAAAAAAATAACTGCTCCCATTCAGCATCCCAACATAACTATTCATACATGGGTGGGTTAAAGTCATTCCCAGCCTTTTGCTCCTAAAAAAAGTGTTTTAATTCTAGGATTGCTGCGGCTCAACTATTTCTCAAGTCTCCATCATCAGCACTTCTCACACTGATGCACAAGTGCCTGAATTCCCACAGTATAAAAGTGTCTCCCCGCTTGTGCATGTATTTAAGTATGTGGATTTTTATCCGGGTCCTTCGGTTTTTCCCTCCACATTTATAAATAGTGAAACCTTGGATTGCGAGCATAATTCGTTCCGGAAACGTGCTCGCAATCCAAAGCACTGGTATATCAAAGCGAATTTCCCCATTAGAAATAATGGAAACTCGATGATTCGTTCCACAACGCAAAAATACTGTATTCATATAAAAATTATTAATACAAAATACCTTTTTCTAATTTTATTATTTAAATTTAATATAAAGTAATCAAATTTATTAATTACATTTAATCGTGGCTGGTGTGAGGGAGACGAGACAGAGGAGGAGGGTTATTGTGTAGGACGACTTTCACTTGCAGTAGTTACTAAAGAACAGTCACTACACTTGGACACAAAATAAAAAAATGCTTTAAGCACACACACGTGGTCACAACACTATAGTACTGTAGTAAACAGTATACACGTGGTCACAACACTATACTGTGGTAAACAGTATACACGTGGTCACAACACTATAGTACTATAGTAAACAGTATACACGTGGTCACAACACTATACTGTGGTAAACAGTATACACGTGGTCACAACACTATAGTACTATAGTAAACAGTATACACGTGGTCACAACACTATAGTACTGTAGTAAACAGTATACACGTGGTCACAACACTATAGTACTATAGTAAACAGTATACACGTGGTCATAACACTATAGTACTGTAGTAAACAGTATACACGTGGTCACAACACTATAGTACTATAGTAACAGTATACACGTGGTCACAACAC